TTTTTGCTCAATCCCTCCAACCCCCCATCCAGCACACACAACCCCCACCCCCAGCTGTCAGCCTGCTCTCTATGAGTTTGTCTCTGTTTTGCTTATTAGTTCATTTGTTCATTAGATTCCACATATGAGTGAAATTGCATGGTACTTGTCTTTCTCGGACTTACCTATAAATAATTCTAAGAATTAAATGAAATTGCCAAGAACTATACTTGGTAGTCACAATGGCTTCTCAATCTTTTCTTAATTTTTTGGTTTTAAATTATTCTCTGATTCAGTTTTAGCATCTCTTACTCCTGAAGATTTTTTAACAATTGATAATCTGAATACATAAGTAACTCAGTACTCAATAATTTAAGTTGATAATAGCTGACTTATTTTTTAGGATATTTAACTATTTATACCATTAATTTCTTGCTGCTGTTAAATCTTGTGTAGCATTTATAAATAAAGATTAATTTGTACCTGTCTATGAACCTGAGGTAAATTTATCTGATGTAAATTTTCTCATTTCTAGGATACTTTCTTCATAAATAGCAAACCCCAAAGATGTAAAGGCAAGCTGCCTGATGGTGATGTTTCTGTACTTAGGATAAGCACCATTGCTTCAGCTATTGCAAATGCATCAGTGAGTACTGATCCTTCCCAACTTGCTGCCATGATCAAGGCCCTTTCAAATAAAGCCAGAGAGAAGACTTTTCAGGAAGATGATAAACAAAAGGACTCTTCCATTGTGTCTCATTTCTTATCTAATGACCTAGAAAAAAGTAATGGATCCAGTGCATTTGATATGGAGAAATACCTTAAAAAAACAGAAGTTAGTAGATGCGAAGGTGGACTAGAAAACTTTTCAAGAGCTGGTGTGTCTGATATTTGGGATTTATCTTTGCCAAAAGAACAGACTACACAAGACATCCATACAGTGGACTTAGGTGCTACTAGTGTAAGTGTAAGGGAACCAGAAGAAAATACAGCAGCTATTTTTTATGGTGAAAACAGAGCAGGCGAAAACCAGGAATCATTTAGAACAACAAACTCTTCAAATTCAGTTTTTACAAATACAAGAGAGAGTGAGAGTGCAATAGTTGATGTGAAGACATATTTCATTGACAACAAATTACCAGATATTGGTAACAGTGAAAAAGCTACCTCAGTATCCATTCCAACATCTAATAGTTATTCATTAGTAAAGAGCCCCAGAATAGCATCCCTTTGGCTGTCAGAAGAGTGTAAAGAAATGCAAAATAATAGAGAAAATCAGAGGCGAAATGAACATGTTAGTGAAACAAGTAGCAGTGAAAAGCATGTGACTTTTGGAAAACATTTCTTAATCTCACCTAAAAATGTTGGTAAGTATCAGAGTAATTGATCACATTCACAAAATTATGCAGAGTGGTTTTTTCCCCCCTGTTCTCATTAGAAACTACTCCTTTCTGATAGATGTGAAAAATCCTTCTCCTGAGCATGGTGAACATAGTTCAGAAGATGACCAGGATAGCTTCAGACCTTCTACTCCTCCACTGAGTCATTCTTCTCCTAGTGAAGTTTCTGGAACAAGTTTATCAGAGTAGGTGCTTGCTTGTTTTTTAAATAATAAAAGTACATGCTCAGTATAAGAAAAAAATATACAGAAGAAAATTAATTATAGGTTCATCTCAAATATTTTTATTGATGTATAATTAGCATACAGTAAAATGCACAGATCTTAGAAGTTTCATTCAATGAGTTTTGACATGTATGAATATCTAAACACCGCCCCTGTAATGTATACATCACTCCGTTAACAAATTCTTGCCTTTTTCCAGTCAATTCTCCTCCTTCCTCCACCCCCGCCCTGGCACCCACTTTCTGATTTGTTTCTCCATAGTTTAGTTTTGTCTGTTCTTGCATTTTATATGAATGGAATCATATACAGTCATGAGCCTCTTAACAATGGTGTTATGTTCTGAGAAATGCATCAAGTGATTTTGTTGTGCATACAGCATAGAGAGCACTTAGACAAACCTAGAAGGTATAGCCTACTACACACCAAGGCTAGATGGTATAGCCTATTGCTCCCAGGCTACAAGCCTATCCAGCATGTTACTTTACAAAGCAACACAAGATTAAATCAAGCACAAGAGAAATGAGGCAATCGAGATGTGGTAAACACGAGATGTATGAGGCTATCTGCGTAGTGTGGCGCACTGTTAAACAGCAATTTTTTTTTAATAAGTAGAAAAACTACACTTTAAAATAACAATGGAAAGTATAGCATGGTAAATACATAAACCAGTAGCGTAATCATCAAGTGTTAGGCACTGTACATAATTGTATGTGCCATACTTAACACTACTGGCAACACAGTAGATTCGTTTAGACCATCATCACCGCGAACACAAGTAATGCACTGAGCTATGATACTATGCTAGCCATGCTGTCACTAGGTGATAGGAATTTTTCAGCTCCATTATAATCGTACAGGACCACCATCACATATGCAGTCTGTGGTTGACCGAAATATTGTTATGCGGTGCCTAACTAGTACATTTTTGTGTGTGTTCATCTTCCACGTCATGTTTCTTAGACTGTTCTCTTGTTGCATGTGTCAGTAGCTCGTGTTTATTGCTGTGTAGCACTTCATTGCGTGAATGTGCCTCATTCTGCTTTTCCATTCTCCTGATGCACAATATGTATTTTTGTCTTAAGCCTAATTTCCGACTCCATTTTTATGTTCCTTTTATTGCCCACCTCCCCTTATTCCTCTTATCACCTTTAAGGAAATGCGTCAGTCTCTCTTAGTTGGTTTTCTTGGATTATGATAACCTCTGCATATACAGTTCTTTCTTCACCTGAGGCAAGTTTTGTTTTCTGTTATCTTTGATTATTTCCATTTATTCCCTCCTCCTTTTGAGTACACTGGTTGCTCATTAGTTGATAATTCTCTCCTCTGGTCATCCATGACCATTTTCTTTTTTTTAATTTCTTGATACATTCATTCTGTACTGTGGGGTAGCTGTTCAAGTATTTATCCTCTGCATCACTGATTTTCTGTACCATCAGCTATGCCTTTCATTGTTGCCAATGTAGACTTTAATTTTATATTCATTTATTTTATTGAAATTCTCGTACTTTTTATTGTGGTAAAATGGATTTGATATTTTCATTCTACTTTTTTTCTGGTTTGTGCTAGCCCATATTCCATTATGTTTTTTTATATTCATGATGAAATGTTGGTCAGAATTTTCATCTGTTCACTGGCAACATTTTTTTAGTGAGTATACTTTATCTGAAAAATTTTGCTGTTCAATAGCATTCCTGCTAGCTGGTCTTCTAGCTGGTTTCCAACAGGCTCGTAAAGCTGATTTAGAGCTTCTAATTCCAGAACTGCCATTGAGTCACTGTGTGGCCAGCACCTTGACAATTTTCAGATTCCTTTTGAGGTCTGATGTCTTGACTGAAATTTCCTTTTATTTCTGTGTGTCCTTACAGTTCACTTCTCATTATTTGAGGTAATATAACCTAAATGCATTTCTTCCTTTCAACCAAAGGAGCCAGATTAATAATATAACATATCACCAGTAACCCAGAACTTGTTTCATGCTGTTAACATGGTATCTGTGAATATGTGTGCATGTGTGTATGTGCCTGTGCATATAAGAACCCATCTCATCCTGTCTATAAGGTGCATATGGGGAAATAGATGCAATAAGATCAAAACTTTGGAAACAAAAAAAAAACCCTTGTCATGCAGTGGCTAAAATAGGTCTAAACAGTTTGGTTAATATTTTGTCTCCATTGGCTAGAAATTCACTAAGTAGCGTTTTGTCAATACTGTCTTGATTTGGAGCTTTTTATAAATCTAAAATTCAAAATAGGATTTTCTCTCTGTGTCCACTTCCCAGTTGAGTAGTCTGAACTTTGTCAAAAAGACGATGGGGTGCATTTCAGTCAAATTAAGGGCAGAATTGAAACTGAGTGGCAGAGTGTTCAGTAGGTGCAGCAGCTGTTTCCAAAGATGGCTGCTGGGACAATATTTCTTACTTAGTGTGACTTTGCCACTTTTCTTCATGAGTTACAGCCTGTTTCCCCTCTCTTTGACTAGGACTGGGCTGACCTCACAATGGGTATTGACTAATAAGATATGGTGTCTGTATTAAATAGATGTGGGATGTTACTATTTATTGCTTTCTAATCTTTTGTTTTGCTTTTACTTAATATATTATGGACATGTTTCTGAGTCAAAGGATAGTATTCAGCAGCATGACTTAAGTGTTTTATTGTGTGTTTGCCATAATTTCTACTGCCTAGTTTCTCTTTTAGCAAACTCTTTTGTATTTAGTGTTAATTTTTTTCTTAGGATAAATTTGTAGGTACAGAATAGCTGAGTCAAGGGTGTTTTGCTATGCATTGCTGAATTGCTCAGCCAAACGTTGTATCACTTTATAGTCCTATCAGAAATGTATGACTGTTTCCATTTCTTTGCACTTATCTACGTGATTCTTTTTTTAATCTTTGCTCTTTGAGGGCAGAAAAATTTTAATACTCTGCTCATTGCTCTATATCAGGTATTCAATGAATTTTTATCAAATGAATAGCTAACATTGTTATGTGACTTTATATGGAATTTATTAATGAAAATGCCAAATTTTTCTTTTACAGTAGCTTTCCAGATACTTCATTCAATAGAAATACAATTTATAATTTTAGAAATGAATCTGTAGTTGAGTTATTATACAGGGGTGGGCAACATTAGATTTACAATTGTAATATAAATAAATGCAAATGCAGTAATTAATAAACAATAATACAAAAATAAACTGTCTTGCATACTCACAACTGTAAACCTACTTTTGCCCACCCCCATATATTGCAAGGAGCAGAGACTGTAGATTAATAAGATTGTAGGCAAAGCAGGATTGGCTTTTGCTAGTGCAGGTAATGTTAAGTAACAGAATGCACAACTCTAGTAATGAGGTGTTCTCTCTTTCAGGTGTGCTTTAGAATCTTTTGGCTCAGCAGCTCATCATCAGAAGCCCCCCTCTGAGAGTGAGTTGTCTCAGTTGATGTGTCCACAGGCTAGTGTGAGCAGGCTGACTTATGTGTCTGAACAAGAGAGCACCTGTCCCACCACGACCTCAGATCATGGCCTTGAGGACCGCAAGGTGGGCAGCACTTTTATTATTTCTTTAGTAAGACTTCTGGCTCTAAAGTGTTACTGATAGAGCTCAGACTGAAGTTATGCCCTGTATACTTTTTGTTGCCGTTTTACCTTTAAAGTTGGGGGAAGGGGCTGAGGAAGGGAGAGAGAGAAAGAGAAGAATCAAACGGCTACTCATGTTGAGGAGGGACTAGAGGTACAAATATTTTAGTATCTGCCCTCAAAAAGCTCCAGTCTGGTGGAGGACACATGTAAGATGCACTCTGTAATGAAATACACTGTGATAGACCTGTGCTATGGGTATTAAGAAGGAGGTAACGAAAAATATGACTAGGTTGTCAGTGGGAGAGAGAGTAATATATTGAAGCCATATTTTTTGGGACTACTTGGATTTAGGCAGAGAAGAAGCAGGCACACAAATGGGAGAAGGCATGGAATTGTAATTACAGACTACATTTGAGGGACTCCAAGAAGTTTGGAGTGAATCCTATACTTGGAGCAAAGAGGAGAGGCCAGACCAAGGAGAATCTTAGGTGTAAAATTTGTGAGTTTGAAGGTTCTTAAGCAAAACACTGACATGACCTGTGTTGATGTTTTCAAAGCTCTTTGCAGTAGCAGTATGGCGGAGGCATTGAGAGGGGCCAGATGAGAACCAGGAAGACTGACACAGGCTGCTGTAGTCAGGTGACACACAGTGCAGGCTTGGACTAAGGTAGTGACAGTGAAGGTGGAAGAAAAGCAGATATATCCTAGAGACTTAGGTGGCAGAGTGTTATCTGTGTGTTTGTGTGTGTTTTGTGAATGTGACAGCACTCAATTTTTTAATGAGCTGAATATGACTGTTGTGAGTATGCAATACTGGCTCTTCCACCAAGCTATTGATTAATATATCCACTAAACATATGACATCGTGCTGGGCAGACTAGTATACCCATTTCATTGAAAGCTGTCTTTTAGATGATGCTTTTAGATGTTGGGTCTCTATGTTCTTAGCATAGTGGATAAGAGCTGAATTGTGGAATCAGGTGGCCTTTCCTCTGCTACTTTCAGACAGGTCCAATCTCCCAACTCCTGTTTCTTCATCTGTAAGGAGGGACAGTGTTGTGAGGACAGGGCTTGGTTAGCATAAAGAACTTACCACTGAATACATACTGGCTCTTGTTATTTATTTTTACTGGTTGGTTGATTGATTAATGGGTAGATGGATGACTGGCAAATAATTTCTCAGTGTCTTTGTTTCTAAAGCGTTGATTCAGAAGAAATGTTCAAACCAAGTACCAGAAATAATCAGTGAGGTTAAGTGCATCCTAAGTTTTGTGTGTTTAATAGTGCGAATATCACTGCTAAGGTGATGCATTATAAAGAAATGAGTATGTGAACATTGACTAGAGTTTTATACCTAAGAAAACAGAATCACATGAGTTTAGATATTTGAAAAGTCTTTGGGGCTCATAAACATTAGCATTTTCAAATATGACAGCAATATAGACAAATAATGTGAGTGGGAGAGCCTGTGAACTGGCTTTGTATTGATTCCTAACCTCATGTTGACATCATTTGAAAGCTTGCTGCCCCCCCATTCCTTTGTTATTTACTTAGATTGTTATTGTACAGTTTAGAGGGAAAAATTCCTTAAATTTGTACAAAATTAGTTGTTTCTTTTCCTTTATGTGTAAATTTTTTTCAGAAATATAATTCGTGTATACTTCCTCTTTAGTCTCCTCATAATTATTTCTATAAAACAGTGAATACAGACTTTTTTCTAACTTTTAATCCTGTATTTCACAGCTGCAAAACTACATTTTTGTGTGTAAGCCAACTTTTTTTTCAGAGTTAGCATTGTGTAGAGCTCTTTATTATGTTATTTGAATTTGTAATAATCTCTGGATTATTTCTAAACATTTTTTTGGTCACACTCAGAGTGATATCACCAGTGAGTTGAGCACCACAATTATTCGAGCCAGTCCAATTCCACCAGAGGAACAGGCCGTGGAAGAGCTGAGAGAAAAAGGTTCATCTCAAAGTAGAGGAAAAGAAACATTATCATATGTTATCCAGAAAAAGTCAGATACAGAAAAAGCGACTGAAACTACTTCTCTGAGTAGCAAACCTGAAGATATAAAACCTAACTCTAGATTTAGTCAAGATCTTTCCTCCAAAAGTGAAGGTCTGTCGGAAACCACTGCTGCCGGTTTGATTACAAACTCCAGTGAATTGGACCAGATCAGTCTGGCTCATCTGAGCAAGTCAGGTCTCAGGCACTCAGCAATGCCACGCCTCCCCGTGCCGCTTCAGGCATCTGTGAAGGAAAGTGAGAGAGCAACTTCAGAAGATACATCGACTACCAGCAGTGCATTGAGTGGCCGGGCTCCTCCTCAGATGGCCTCTGGAAACCAGCGTGCCCCTAGTCCCAGCTCTTTGGTTTATGGCTCTGCTCCCCACGTACAGAGCATGCCCACCTCCGTTCCTACACTCTTGACTCCACATTCTTTTACCGCAGCTCCCTTTGCCCATCAGTATTTGGGAACACTATCTGCAGCTGGAAATGTTACTTTGCCTCAGTGCTATGCCGGCAGCACCACTGTCTGTGGGTTCTCAGGAAGCTGTTCTTATCCTGCCGTCACAGGAGAGCATATTCAGAACTCTGTGGCTGTGGACATCTGTCTAGGACAAAATACCAGCTCTGGATTGATGGGTACCTCTTCCCTTTGTAACCCATATTCTAATACTGTACATCAGGATCCTCTTACTACAGCAAAATCTTTTCCTGTGCAGTCTGTTGGTGCAAATTGTGGAATTGAACCATGGAATTCAGGAATAATGTCAGGATTTGGTGAGATGCTTTTTCTGTTATTGCCTGTTGTTGCTTGCTATTTAAAATTTAGTTTTCTCAAATGAGATAATAAAACTAGTTTTGTTTCAAGGTGATACTGATGGGCCTGAATTTCTTATAAGTTTTTTTCCTTTGTTCTGAATTTGGAACATAGACTATACATATTTTTGGGCAAGCGGCCCTGAAGTGGCCTTAGAAAAACATGAAAACTTATGTAGGCGAAACTCCCAATACCTTTGTCTTCCTGTTTCTCTTGTGTTCTGCACTTGTGTTCTGTTATTTTTTCAACTAGGAAATGTCCAATTTAGAGTCGCCTCCGTGAAGGAGTGAGTCTGCTTCCAGTTTTTAAGTCTTGGAGGGTTACTGTTGTGGTAGTGAGAGATAGTACCCTTCCACTCTTGTCGGTGGTAGCTGAGCTGACCACTGATTCTCACTTGATAGTCACTCTGCTAAGCAGAGCTGGATGCTGTGCTTGTTCTGACCCAGTCCACACAGCAACTGGAGTGCTATCTTCAAGGAAATTCCAGAGTAACTGCATAAGGATGGTGGGAAGACTTGTATTAAAAATCCAAGTTAGAATCTCTGTTGTTTCTTATTAGATTAGGTAGTGGTTTATATTTGTGGGAGAAAAAAGGAAAAGATTAGTAATAGGTAATAACATCTAAGAGTTGACTAGCTGTAAATTATCAGTTTGATCATTTATACTTACTTGTTCTTATTCCTTGGCTGGATTCAGCAAGAGAAAATTGTTTGCCAGCCTGTGCTGAGGCTTATAGAATATCAAGGGCACTTAAAGATCTGGAGCACTTTATACCATAGCTCTGGTTATAAACAAGTAGTATTCTATAAAAATTTCCATTTAGCTAATTGTGCATTTAATCAGGTATTTGCTATAACTTGCATTTTGATTTGCTTTCTCTTTGCCCAGGGAATGTAAGAGTGCCTGAGGAATTGAAGTTTCCTCATGCTTGCTGTGTTGGGATTGCTTCACAAACCCATCTTAGTGTACTTAATCCAACCACTCGCTGGCTGCAGGTCAGCGTAGGGCTTCTCAGTGTTAGTGTTAATGGTGAAAAGGTAAGTTTTTTATTAACTTTATCTTTTAACTTAATTGTGTTACAATCAATGCTGGATTTCTTTTTTGTCTAGTACTTCCTTTTATTCTGGGAGATTGTCCCTCCCCTTATACCTTGCACAAAATCATTAGAATGGTATCTTCCTTGGTCCCTCTTGTAGTACTTCTAGTGTAAGAGGTGAAATCTGAATATATTTCTCATTTTCTGTCAGTTATTTATTAATCATTATACTTCATTGTTATTTATTTATAAAATCATATAAATGTCCTTTTAGTGCTATTATTTAAACCACTGAAAGCTCTTGAGTTTCTGGTTTTGTTAAATGTGATTGAATATAAGTTACTGTCATTTATCAAAAAAACAAGTTGCTCTTAGGGCCTACACCTTCAGTTAATAAGTAGTCTTTTTGACTAATTTATTACGTTCTTACATGATCTTTTGAAATACCTGGAAATAAAATTTTAACACGGAGGGTCTCTCATATGATCAATAACAGCTGCTACAGTTTTAGAATCTAAATCTCCTTTTATGATTGCAATGAGCATTTGAATGTGAGTGAGTAGGGAGGGTGGGAAATATGGAGAGCAGCTCCTGTTCTGGAACATCCTGGCTTTGCAACTGCTTCTTGCAAACCAGCATTGGTGGATGGGTCTCCTCTCCCCTATTACGTCCTAGGAATAGCCTTTATTTACCTGGCAAAATTAGACTGTCTCTACCCTTCCTTTCCTTTTTTCCTAGTTTTCCCCCCCTCTGCTTTTCATATCCTGAGGTTAGAGGAAAAGCTGGTAGCTGAAGGAAAAGGTTGAAAGTAGAGGGTAGAAGAAGGTGAGACTGGAGGCCTTCTCAGGAAGTAGTCTCTGGAAGTGGGAGTAGAAAAGAAGATCCCCACTTACAGTGAGGAGGCAGGGTTTGGAATGAATCATAGTCATAGACTTGGAGGCCTGACAAGGAATATTAGAGATCAGTCTAACCACCCTGCATTGTACTAGAAACTAGGTCCTGGGACCATGTACAGGGCTATGAAGTGCTAGAGGCTGTAAATTCAGCCTATCTTCATAAGTATGAGTTTGACTGATTGTGCTTTATAGATAATGAGTTATAAGACTTGGATATTTTTGAAGAGATAATAAATGTCTAGATTTGGTAGTTCAGGTGACTGGGAAAAAAGATTTTAAAGTAGTTGCTTCTACTTCTTGATTTTTATTGTGAAGCCATTTTTTAACAAACCATGTGGCTCTGTTTGTTTTTTTAAGGTGGACCTTTTAGCATATCCTTGTTTAGTTTTCAAGAATAAAGTCATCATAAGACCTCATGCCACAGAAGAGATAAAAGTACTTTTCATACCGTCCAACCCTGGGATTTTCAGATGTATATTCAGTGTTGCTTCTTGGCCATTTACAGCAGATGCTGAGACAGTAGTCCAAGCAGAAGCCTTGGCAAGCAGAGTCATTCTCACCGCTGTTGCCGAGACCCCTGTGATCGAGGTAACTGTTTGTAAGTGGGTCTTTGTCCTGGCATTTTAATGAAGGGTTTGAGGGACCTGTGTTAGATTAGTTTCCCTTGATTAAAGAAGTCACCCTGTGTGTTTTGATATCATTTTAAACATTTTCAGTATTGTCAGAAGTTTGTAATAAATTAAAAAATACTAACAGCCCTGGCTGGTTTGGCTCAGTGGTTAGAGCCTTCGGGCACATGTGGGAGGCAACCAATTGATATGTCTCTTTCACATCAATGTTTCTCTCTCTCTCTCTCTGAAAAGCAATGGAAAAAATAACCTTGGGTGAGGATTAAAAAACAAATAAAAAACAAAAAGCCAACATATGTTTGAGGGAAATTGAGAAATCAGTACTGTAATAATAGAATTAATTAAAATTGTCAGTTTGTCTTAAAATCTATTAGTCCTTTTAGAGTAATAGCAACTAAGATGTTACTTTATTCTGTAGAATTTTGAGTACATAAACTCAAAAAAAGAATTTAACATTAATATTTTTAGAAATAACAATTGTAAAATAGCCTGGGGAAACTTAGGTTAAGTTTACCTTTAATGCTGACTCTTGTGGCTGAAAAGGCAGTGATATGAACATAAGCTGTGATCTTTATTAATATATTGCTTTTTATAAATCACTCCCTTTTTTTTCTTAATTAGGTAGAAACAGAAAAGAAGGATGTTCTCGATTTTGGTGACTTGACTTATGGAGGCTGGAAAGCTCTTCCTTTAAAATTGATAAACAAGACACATGCCATCGTGCCTATCAGACTTATTATTAATGCTGTAAGTACTAACGTACAGTGAGAAACCATTTACAGAGCACATTGATTTTGAATTCTAGACACTATGCTAATATCATTCTTGGTTAATTTGTTTTTATTAACAAGTTGAACATTTTACCAACTATTGGCCTTATTGAAACTGATTCTTCTACTTCTGAACAGAATGCTGTAGCCTGGCGCTGCTTCACGTTTTCCAAGGAACCTGTCCATATTTCTATGAGAACCGCTCCTTATGCTGATGTGATTGCTCAGCTGGCAGCTCCTTCTGTGATTAATCACATGATGCCTGCCAGTTACGATGGACAGGTAGGCTAGGTGGATTGAAGAACTGGTTTAGAATAAAAAAGGAAGTTAAGTTTCCAAACTACTTTTCTTTCATTAAGATTTTAATCTTAATGCCAGTATTTATTTAATTTTTAAATTTTATTTCACAGGACCCTGAATTTTTGATACTTTGGGTTCTTTTCCATAGTCCAAAGAAACAGATCACTTCTTCAGGTATCATGTTTACATTTTGTTGGAATTGCTTTACTCTGTACCTGAATAAAGTAAAAGGTTGAGGCTTATTTCCTTTGTCAGTAAATATGAATACTTTGAGTAACTTGTCAAATATTTTATGTTGTCTTAAAAATGGGGCAGAGATCATGCTATTTTGGGTCAAATCCTTGTAATTATGGGTAACTCAGGCAAGTACCTCTGAACACTTTTTGGGATCTTTTCTGTTAATTAAAATGTCCACACTACCCAAAGCAATCTGTAGATTCAGTGCAATTCCTATTAAAATACCATTGGCATACCCCACAGATCTGGAATAAATATCCCCCAAATTTATATTTTATCATGCCTACCAATTGAATGTTTTCCCTTTTCTCCTTTCTCACCTCCATTTATTTCTATTTCTCTTTGTTCTTTAAAAAAAATTACTTTGCTTACGATTTCTTGTGACCTCTGAGGGCATAATGTTTGATCACTCATGGCATTTAGAATTAAATAACTCTGGTGTCTGGACTGAAAGAGTGAACTTTTATAGAGATTCTGGACTCAGCAGAAGAATTCTTGGCAAGAGTTGATATAGAAGTTGATAGCCCAAACCCTACACCAGTCATTAAAAGTATTGGTCTTCGAGCAAGAGCAGGAATAGCTAGGATACATGCTCCAAAAGACTTACAGGTACTCTAAACTCTTTTCTCTGCCATTATTTTATGTTCAGGTTGATTTCATTATAATTGTGACATTTTTGTTTTTAAATGCCTGTTTTACCCCATCCTCTAGACTATGCATTTGTTTGCCAGTGTGGCTTCCTCAACAAAGCAGCACTTACCTTTGAAAAATGCTGGGAATATTAACGTTTACTTAGATATCAAGGTAAGAATTTGTATCAGTGCTATGACATAGTATTTCCTCAGACTGTGAGACTGTGAGTATTTTCTCACATTCTGAAGGTACTGTGCTGCCTCCCTTGTCAGAGTGCCATGGGGATCAAATGGAAGAGTCTGTGCAAATGTTTTAAAAGCTGGGTGTTACACTAGTATAAAATAGATGGTAAGGAATTTTAACATGTAACATTTCATATATAAGAACCAAGTTCTTGATCGGTTCCTGAAAAATGTATGTGTTCTCCTTTGGCTAGGTAGAATTGGAGGAGAGTGACCTACATACATAGACATTATTTCTGAGTCATGTGGTTGAGTAAGAGGGTAGGGTGTTAGTGACCAGGAATTAGGGAATAGGGTAGGAGATAAAGTTTGCTATGGAAGATGAAGGAGAAAGGAATATCCTTTTCAAGATAAGACAAGGTGGGACAGTGATGGATAGTGAGAAAGGGAAAAATAACCTGTCCAAGTAAATGAGAAAGACACATAAGACAAGGAGAGAAACCCTATTTGAGTAAAAGCCATATTTGCATAAGTCGGCATTTAGTTATAATTATATAAATATTTAGATCCCAGATCAAGGAAGTCACTTTTCAGTGGTTCCAGAAACTCTATTCCTTAAACCTGGAGAAGAGCACGAAGTTATTGTTTCATTTACTCCAAAGGACCCCAAAGCCTCTGAGGAAAGGTAATATAAAATTATTTATAATGACAAGTTTTTACGTACTCCTCAAGTTTCTCTCACTTAGATATGCTTCAGTACACAGTCTAATAGAATACATGTTTTACCTCACCTGTCAGATGATAGCTCTTTTCTTTAGCCTCAGAGTTTCTTCTTTCTTGTTTACTAAAAAATCTCCTTTTAAGCCTGTTGACTAGAAATATAAAAGTCGCTGTTTCCAAATATATTCTGACAAAAGTAAATAATGGAATGTCAGTCCTGATGTTTCTCATTAACTTTTTTTCTCTCTCCAAGAAAACTATTGGTTGACCTTGTCTGTTGTTAGTTTAAAATACTTTCTTCACCCTGTCTCTGGGGCCTATGACTTTTTGTCACCCAAGTCATAAATGGGTGAATACCACCATACAATGGTGATATCACCATTGTCAGTATTTGAACTTGTTTAATAAACCTAGTGTAGCACTTAGCACACTGTCCTGTGACACATGACCTATCTACTGCCTGGATTACAGAAGCCTTAGAGGGCTCAGTCCGCTACTGTGGCCTGCAGCACTTGCCCTCAACTTCACTGAGAGCTCTTTCATCTGGGAAGCATTCCTCAACTCTTCCCACATTCCTCATAAATAGTTTTTGGTAGTGTTCCTATATCCCTGTGACCACCTCCTAGGTGGCATTGTCACAGCCTCTGTCCTTATAGGTAGTCTCCTCTGTAATATAAGCTGTAATGGTGGGAAGAACATTGTATCCTCAGCACCCAGCTCAGTCTCATGGACAAAGGAAGCATGTAGGAAATAGTCGCCAAAAGAACTGAATTCTGGACATTCAACTTAGATGGTTTTCTTTGTTAGGATCTTGAAAATATTTGTGCAGCCATTTGGACCTCAGTATGAAGTAGTGTTAAAAGGTGAAGTAGTTTCCTCAGAAAATAAACCTCCGGCACCTGGATCTTGCTGCTCAGATATTCCATCAGTTTTATCCAACAAGCAGTTTTTGGCTTGGGGAGGTGTCCCTCTTGGCAGAACACAGTAAGTATGCACATAGCTGCCTCTGAGTGCTGAGATTTTGCTGTTATCACCTATTGTTATTCTCTGCTGTGTTAGTTATGACCATGTTAATATTTTAGAATTGAGTAAAGCTGTCTTATAGTCCTTAACCTTTCTATCATGAATTCAAGTTTTTGAATTTAAATTTTCACCTATTTTTAAATGCAATCTAAAAAAATAGGTTTCAATTTTCTTATGCTTTTTGGCGAATTCTTTGCTGATTTCCAAATTTAGGCAATTTAGAGTATTTTTGTTCCTTCTCTGAAAACACTATGAAAAGGTAGGAAGAAAAATATAGCCAGAGACTTTGCATTCTGTTTAAGGAATTTACAAACTGGTGAATATTTTGTACTTTAAAGTAAAGGATATAAGGGGTCTCTAATAGAACAGATATATCCTGTTATAGGTTAATGTGAATTATATCTCTAATTTTATTTTTATATGTATTTTGATTCTACATTATGGATAACTGAGTTAATAAAATTAATTGGTATATAATATGTAGTATGTATAGTTTTCCCTTTATAAGCTTAGCAACATAGTTAAATTTTTTTTACCAACCTCATATCAGTAAAAATTTCTGATTACAACCTAGGTGATTTATTAACCTAAATGTTTACTCTTTCATAATTTTCCAGTTTTGTGTTTAACCTAAATGTTTTACCTATACATTTCTGTGGTACCTGAGAGAGAAAGTTCTGGCTAAATCTCTACTATAGGTGTCAAGAAATTACTTCTTTAAAATTATAGTTTTGTCAATGTAAAAGGGATTTAATTGAACCTCCTTACTTTATATAAAGTTCATAATTCTGCTTAATCACTCATGTAGTCATCTGTGTCTTGTCTTATTCCAAGAGCAGCTTTCAAAAGGACACAGTAACATGCAAACAGTTAAGTGAGAAATGACTTCTGTGGGAAAATGAGACACAGTCATCATAAAAGTGTACCCCACGTCTCGATGGGCTACCCCGTGCACTTGCCTCAATGTGGGTCTTGGGCTTGGTTCTGACATGAGTCACAGTATTCAGAGGTTAAGAACAAACCCGTTACTATGTGAGAGAATATAACCATTCCTGCTACAGACTTCAGAGAGATGTTTCTTCCAAGGGTCTTCTTAAAAAGAAATTTGTATAATATAGCGAATCTCAAGGAAAAGCAATTTCACAGTAAATACTCCACCAGGATGCTCCCCCTTTGAGGTTCTCCACTCTGGACTAGACATGTCACACCTGAACCCCCAAATGAAGGCGTTCTCTGAGTGCTGAAGCGTGTGGTGGTTTGATTTTGAGGTTGCTTAGTCTCTGGGAAGAATGTGCAGGCTGCATGTTCTTCAAGCAGCTCTCTGTAAAGGTTTGTCTCAGCTACAGACTTAAAAACCCTGAATGGCAGTGAGCATGAGGTACTGTGCCCTCTTCAGTAGTTCCTGTGTTGTTGGTTATATGTGTCATATGCTTTTTGCAGTCAGTTAAGAGGGAATCAGGATTGACATTTATGTTGAAGGGAGGGACTGAATAAGCACATGTTCCTATAGAGAAGGATTTTCTTGTTCTGTATGGTTTAACCTGAACAGTGCTTATATACCAATTTTTTTTCTCAAAACACTAATTTGTGGTCTGCTCCAGTACTTGTATGAGTAGTTGATTGAGGCCTTTAAGTCTGTGCTATGTAAGGTGGCCAAAATAATTAAGCTGTTCGGCTCAGCCATTAATGTTCAAGTTAAAAAGAAGAGGAAATTGCCTTCAGTATGTTCTAGCAATCATAGCACTTACCCTGCGACTGCTCTTGTCCATTGAGTCAAAGGGAGAAGAAAGCCCATTAAGAGCCGTCATCGTCCTTGTGTGGCTGACAGAATTTCCTGCCTTGTGATAAAATTTGTAAGAAATGATTAATATGGTAGAGATGGATGTTCTTAAAATTCAGCTGCTTCTCAGATGCCATACCATCCTGAAATCTCACCTACACCTTTTTAAAAGGGAAACCTTTTTAAAATCAGAAATTACATTGATTACGTTGAAAACAGAGGCACTGTTTTGTATGTGCTTTTGGACTTGTCAGCAGTGTTTTTCCCTAGAGCTTTCCCTCATGCAGGGCCCCCACGCTGTCCGTTACTTGACTTCACTTCCCCATGGGGATTCACAGAGTGCTTCTAATCTAACAGGCATATGAATAAGTCACATGCCAGTGCAGGGGTAACTGACCCAAAAAGCCCGTTATTTCCAGGAGTAGGTCGGGTGTCTTACCTCAGCCTGGAGGAGCCCGCTGGTCCTGTGAGAATAGCTCTCCCTTAGTTGAGGTGCACCACATGGATGACTAAAAGTGGGCTTTTGTGAAAGTAACAATTCCAAAGCATTAAATGGATATCAAGCATGTTAATGTATGTGTTTAGTGCAGCACTTAGCTAAATTATGGATTTGTGTTTCTTCAGTTCTCCTCAGCCTTTCTAGGTGTCCTACACAGAACAATAATTTCCCTACATCACAGCTCCTGCTACTCTTCTGTAAGGATGTTGCTGCAGAGTTCATGATGATTGGTACCGCCTGCTTAGAAAGGAATCTTATTTTCTTTTCCAGTATGAAGTGTCCTAGGATGTGGACAGAGGCCTTGACTCAATAGTTGCTAAGAGAGGACTCAGACAGGCTGGGAGATGCTGCTGCCCTACTGGGTGCTCTCCCTGTGCAGTACTTGCCCTTTCCGTGCCCTGCGTTGTAGAAGAATGTGCTTGTTGGAAAAGGGAGATTTGAAGTGAGCTCTTCTTTTAAGTATGGGGGAAAATTAATATATAATTTGTGGGGCAATATTCTCATTGAGTTAATGGGTTTTGCTTCAGTTGCAAATAAGAATGGTAATTAATAAATTAAAATTATGTTTTCTGTGGGTAAAGTGGTCCAAAGTAGTATTTCATTCAAACTTGATATTTTTAGATTTCCAAAGTTCTGTATTTTTCCATATATTTATTCATTCTAGTTTCTCATAAGTCTACTTACATTCTTAAGCTATTTGTTGGTTAGGATTTTAGTAATTTTTTTTCTTATTTGTGTGCAATCTTTATATAATAAAGGTGTTAACCCTTTTTATTCTGTATAGCTCCTTTTTAAAACTAGAAACTTAGCCTACCGCCCCCCACCTTAATAGCTCTGCTACTTGAAAACAATAACATTTATTTAAAACTAAAATAAATTAAAATTAAAACTTTTTTAAATGATTTTTTTTTCAGGTAAGTCTTTCCCAGTCAGCATACCTTTGGAAAGCTTTTCTCAGGTGTGCTGATAGTTAGAGGTCTTAGATTTTATTCTGAGATAAAGCTCAGTGGCCTTCCCTTTGAGCACAAAGGGGACAAGGCATATATCACAGCTTAAATAATTTAACTGCCAATCTTTAAAATTTGAGAAACATAGAGATTTACTTATGTATTTATTCTCCAGTGACAAGAGGATTTATGTACTTTCAAAGACTAAAGGATTTTCTTACTACCAGTTAGCTGTTATTCATATGTCCATTCTACTTGCATTGTAACTTTTTAAAAGTAAGGTTAACTCAGTGTACTATTTAAAAGACTGCTTTGTGCAAATGAGCCTCTTAGCATGAAAAACCTGGGCAATGTGCCTGGGACCCCTTGTTTACTTGAAAGCCAGGTATTTGAGCTGAATGTGGTATTGTCTTAATGAATTTGATAATCTGGATATTCATTGATTAATGTATTATAAGACAGATAATACTTATACGTGTAGTATAAATAATAAAGGCAGTGAAGGAACTATAATAGGAAAGAAATTAAACCAAAAAACTTCTCTGATAAGGTGAATCTTCAGCGCTATGTTTTCAGAACTGTAGAGTTCTGGGACTGTGGTAAGACTTTTCCAGGCGGCTAAAATGGCATGTGCAATCAATCATCTCTAAACATTGTAGTTGGTTTTGGCTTTGTGTTTTATAATTGTAGTAGTACCCATGGAGGAAAACCACATTTAAAATGTATACTTGTTTTTAGGCTTCAGAAACTAGCTTTAAGAAATAATTCTACGTCTACAGCCCAACACTTGCGACTGCTAATTAGAGGACAAGATCAGGACTGCTTTCAGGTTCGTGAGTACTTGGTTTTGCTCTGTTTTAGTATATGTGCTGCCAAAGCGAGCACGGTTTTGCTCTGTTTTACGTTCTGTGTGGATCCAGAACACTTAGCTATGCAGACAATTTTGTGTTGTCTGAAGAGTTTGTGTTAATGGTATGTTTTATTTGTGCTACTGCTTTGTTTTATGCAGTGATTATTTTTAAATTGTAGCTTCAACACACTTATGGTTCAGAAGAGCGATTAACTAGTAACTGTGAAATCAAAATTCGTCCAAAGGAAGACATTAACATCTTTGTATTGTTTGCACCTACTCGATTATCTTGTATGTTGGCTAAACTGGAAATTAAACAACTTGGAATTCGATCACAGCCAGGTATTAAGTTCACGGTAAGATATTTTTTATTGTTTTTTTTCCTCCCATGGAGTTTATTTCATGTTATAACTATTGCTTTAATATTAGTAAATTAGATATACTCTGATTTTTACAAACCAAAATAAATGATTGCCTAGATTTACAAATTAGGGAGTAATTATGTATTTTTAGAATTGTCATGTTACAAAAGCAGCCACCATAGTATTCTTCCAAGTAATAATCTCTTTCTGATGCTTTTAAGTTTCATTTCAGTTTGAGGATTTTGAAATACACCTAACTTTTTAGGAACACATTTCTTGGCAAATGCAGATCAAACTGTTTGATACTGTCTTTCCAAGTAAATTTTATTCAGTTAAAAATATCTGTTGACATCATTTGCTGGACTCTGTTTCAGATACTAGAAATACAAAGGAATTTTTATATTTTGTTTCCTCCCATTGTAATTTTTTTTAAAGGATTTCAAGTCATTTCTTTAGGTACATTGAGAGCCCTAAGAGATAAAAGTGATAAATCATTGTGGAAAATAAAATGAATCTCAAGCTTCACTAAAGTGCATACTTTAAAACTGCATAGTTGTTTGGCAGTGGGGCTGGGACTAAAATTTGGTTCATTTCCTAATGTCAAAGAGGGAATATGATAAATTACAAGATTGACAATACCTAAAAGGTGTTATGTTTTTTTAAAATAGATATTTATGACAAATCTAGCTTTATTTGATGCTGGAGCTTGACACGTTCTCTATGGAGCTATTCACTTGGCCCCATGAGCTATGGAGGGCAAAATTGTTTAAAGATGTAAATGGTCATTTTTAGAACTAAAGCTATACACATGAGCCCAGGACACAGTGCCAGAGTATTGTGTCTGGTTTCAAGTAAGGATCAAGTGGTTTGAGGAGAGGACTGCATGAGCTATATCTTTTAGACTATCCTGAGTACATTTTAATTAGTTTCGGGTCTACTAGTCAAGATTTTGATGTTTTCCTAAGTGAGAATCTCTGGTGGTTTAGGGCAGAACCATTTGATTTGACAGCCAATCTAGCAGAAGTTCAGGTTGGTGTTTTCTTAAGATAAACTGGGATCCTAGTGGGAGTCCTACCAGGGGTAGATGCCACCTGTCTTCTCTGAGAGTTGGGCTGAATGGAACCTAAAGTGCACAAAATATGGCTCTTATCTCACAGGAAGGCTTAGACCATTAACTTTGATGTATCTTTGTGGAGATAAGTAGCCTGATATAGTGATGGAAGAGCACACTTAACTCTAGAGATGAAAGAATCAGGAACAGTCTTGCCTGACTAGTCACGTCACTTGCAGGTGCTTCATTCTCTTATCTGAAATGCAATTAATTGTCACCCCAACTTCCTGGTTTGGTTCTGAGGAACAAATGAAATTATCTGTACTTTGTATATAGCACGATGGTACTCCAATAAAAATGTATTGATTGCATGCTGAGTATATGCCAAGCACTACTCTTAATCATTACGTAGATTACCACATTGTACTTCAAAGCAACTGTGTGAGACAATACTGCTGTCTCCATTCTACACATCTGGAAACTGAGGCCTGGAGAGGTGCCTGCCCGGGCATCTTACCCACCATTACGTGCCCCAGGACAGCTTCAGTAAGGCTGCCTGCCTGTGAAGTCATGTTTATCTGTTGGGCAGCCTGTAGGTGTTCCTGCTAGCTCTCTGTTTTCTAGTGCTGTAGGGCAGCAGTGCTCAACCAGAGGCCATTTTACCCTCCAGGTGATATTTGGCAATTTCTGGAGACATTTTTGGTTAACATAACTTAGAGCAGGAAGGAGTGCTTCTGACATCTGGTGGGTATAGGCCAGGGATGTCGCTGAACACCCTACAATGCACGGGATGGCCCTCACCATAACGAATGGTGGGACTCAAAATGTCCACAGTGCTGAGATTAAGAAACCCTGCTCTAGACCAGTAATAGTTTTTCCTGTTGAAGCTTTGGATTTATTAGCATTAGTTGGATTTAATTTAATCATTCTTCTTAACTTTTTACTCGGTAGTTATTTGTAATTCCTTAGGCATTGAAAATATAGGAAGAATGCTTATATTGATGTTTTAAAATCAATAGATTTTCCCCAAAAACATTTTATTTCAAAAATTCAGAATACTGGAAAGCTGAAAAAATTATATGGTAGACTCACATACTCTACCACTTAGATGCTACAATTAATGTTTTGCTATATTTCTTTTATTACATACCTAGCCATCCATAAATTCATAGATTTTTTAATGCATTTTAAAGTAAATTACAAACATCAGTATGTTTCACTCTAAACGCTTCTAATCTTTTACTATACTAATCTTTTTATTTCTTTATTATCTAAGCTTGGCTTTTATAACAATGAGATAATTATTCTTAGGATATTTAAAGGGAAATAATTTTGTAGCTCTTTGGTGTTTTCCCCTTAAGAACAGGGTCTTTAATATAGTGCTGGACTGGAAGTGGGACAACTACTGGCCAAAGTACACAAAGAATAATAATTTTAATTGTATTAAATCTAGTATATGTATTTTATTCTCTGACTAATTTATTTTCTTCTCTGACCGTAATTTAATCTTCTGCTTTCTGCTTACATAAAGTAATTTTGAACATATATATATATATTTTTTTTTTTCTTCTTTTTTTTCTTTTTTTTTTTTTTTCCCCCTGCACTTTCAGATACCTTTGTCTGGATATGGAGGAACAAGTAATCTTATTTTGGAAGACGTTAAAAAATTATCTGACAGTTACATGGTAACAATGAATGACTTAATACCTGGCAAAGAAAGTAGAATTGTTTTTTCTATTCATAACACTGGCTCTCGGGCAGCTTTTGTTAAAGCTGTGGGTTTTAAAGATGCTCAGAAAAAAGTTTTCCTGGATCCTAAAGTATTAAGGATTTTCCCAGATAAATTTGTGCTTAAGGAGAAAACACAAGAAGTAAGTATGACAGTCTCTGCACTAAAAATATAAACTCAGTTTTAGGTTAAATTAATAGTTGTGTATTTTATGGCTAAAAACTAAAAAAATATTTGAAATGTGTATAGGAATAGAAGTACAGTAAAACCTCGATATAACAAACTAATTCTAGAGGGAAAGTGTTCATTAAAGCCAAAAGTCTGTTATATAATACAGTAAGTTTTCTGAATGTGTATGTTAAAAAATTGACAAATTAGTTCATTTACCTGTTTTTACTTATGTAGGCACATTTGTGTAATTAAAATTAAGTATGCATGAAAAATTTAATTTCACAGAAAAGTCTTCTATATGTATTACAGTAATTTTAAATTTATACTGAATAGGTCTAGTAAATGTGTGCATGTACCAGTTACTGCGAGTAAACAAATGCGCATGGCTGGGGTGTGGCTTAGTGCACATTGGAACATCAGCCAGCCTGAGTAATACTGCCGCAGAGAGTCATGCCGCGGGACAGCTCTGCTCCAGGTGGGGTGTGATCATGTGCTAATCATTCTCCGAACGTTGTTTAGGAGCGGTGACTCTTGGATTTAAATATGTAGACTATAGTTGTAGATATGTAATATTTATGTATGTCGGCAAAATTACTATAGTGTTTTTTCCAACATGTCCTATTTGCTAAAGTTTGTTAAAAATAACAGTGAATTCATAACAAAAAAAATAACCTGTTAATTATAAGCAAATCTTGGTTAAAAGCATTTTCAAGTTTTTAGGGTGTTAATTTTCACACATGACATATGGACCAGAAATTTTGTTAAATTGAGGTCCACAAAATCGAGGGTTTACTGTCCATATTTTCTTGGAAATGCTGTACATATGCATTCATGTCTATATTGACTATTAGGCTCATGTGACAATTTATTGAATGAAATAACTTATTCAAAGAATGTTTAATTTTTTCTTGGCATCAGGAGGTTACTATAATATGTAATCCACCAGAGAGAGAGAGCAATTACAAAACTGCAACAGAACTGTCAACTATATACTTCTTTGGTGGAGATGAAATTTCACGACAGCAGTATCGAAGGTAGGTTACTTATCTTAGATGGTATTGAGAGCTATTCAGTAGAAGACTTAAAGAATGGTTTGGGACTTGGAATTTATAGAACATGTTTCACTTGGTAAAATTTGTGTAGCTGATAAGAAGAAGAAATGCCTGTAGGAAACTCATCTCTATTTACAATGTGCCGCCTTTTCTAGACATTTGTATTGTGCCTCTTCTCCTGTACTCAAATAGGGGCCTCAGACTTTATGGTAGGACCATCTTTGTAGTAACTGTAGATCAATTTCAGAAAAGGTTTAAGAACTACTGAGACTATTGTTTAAATACACCTGACTTATTTGCAGTATTTCTGAGAATGTGAATTATTAGCAATGTGTGGGATGTTTAACTTGGCTAGCTACTTAAAGTATGTACTTCTAGAAAATTTGATACATCTAGTTTATGTATTGTTTATTATGCTGAAGTGTCAAATTTAGGTATTTAGGTATGATGTAACATAGGTAACATTCTGGTATTCTGAATCAGAGTTCTAATATTATAAAATTTTGTTTTCTAGCCTAGAAGACTAAATATAAAATAAGTGTGAAGTTCATGATGTTTCATTTGTTACTAGGAAATCATTAACTCCCAGGAGGGGAGGGGTATATGCGTATATACCAGTCTTTTCTTCTTCCAACCCTTGTGCTCTGCTGTGTTTTATTCTGGTGCATAATTTAGAAAATTTTGTTTTATTTTTAATCTGTTGAAGATAATTGGAATGTTTAAAAAGAGAGAGCATAGCAGTAAGTTGCTACGTGATGTTAGAACAGACCCAGTTTGAAGAACTCTGCTTTGAACCTGGTGGTGTTTCTCAGTTGAGTATTTTAGAGATAGAAACTGACATTTGGAGAAATTAGATTACCAGATTTTTTATTTCCTTTCTCTCCACTGGAATATAGAAGTCAAATTATTGTTTCAGAACTCCAGTTTGCCATAGACTTAGAGTAATGAGGTTTCTTCTGTTTGCGAAATTTACAATTCAGTTCTCACACATTAAAGATTCTTTAGAAGAGGCCAGATAAACATAGTTATATGGTAACTTAAATGTCTTATTTGTATCATTTTCTTGGCATACTCTTTTTTTTTTTTCTGAGACAAATTTCTGTCACCAAATCATCACAATTAATGAAAAGTAACACCTGAAAATAATCTAATTTTATTCTTCTTTCTACTCTTATGTTAGAGAGTTCTTGTTCTGGTGTTAATATTTAACTGAAACTGATGGTTGTACTGCTAGAAGTTTTAAGGGAGCTTCCAAAATAGGTTTTCTTTTAAAAATTACTAGGAATTACTTCCTAGGATTTAAGACACGATATCTATGTACTAATGTATCATGCTGTTAGTTGGATTTGCCAAATACACTAATAAAAATAAGGTCATTTTATATGTAAAACCACTTTTGAATAAAAATGTCTCCTGGCAGAGCTCTGTTGCATAAACCTGGGATTCTAGAACAGATCCTTCCAGAGCATAGCATGCTTCAGAACATTGATTTTGCTGAAGCATTTCAAGATGAGCTGCTAGTAACTGAAGGTAAGAATTTCAACATGTCTTAAATCTTTTGTGTTATTTTTAGTATTATCTAGATCCAGTCATGTGATAAGGAGGAAGAGTATTAGTTTGATTTTGACGTCAGGCTGAGTTTGAGCCACAATTCTGCTGTATTATTTTGGACATGTTACATCACTGAAATGAAGTGTTCTCTGTAAAATGAGAATAATAATATCTAACTTTTCATCCATCCAGATCTGTTTGATATAAACAATTCAAGGATTTAATGGTGTTTATTACTGATACAAAAGATATGTGTTCGGACATTCGAATTGTGTAAAAATGTAGATTTTCATCACAGTATTGTTTATAATACAAGAAGTTAGAAATAACGTAAATGCCCAAGAGCAGTGGATTGTTTAATTATGCAATATAATATTTTAAAGCTATTAAAACGATGTGATACTTTATTAACAAGATGGAAACCTCTTTATTTATTGAGAAAAATTATTTTTAAAGTTTGCATAGTAAGATATCATTTTGGTATAAAAGTAATTTAGTGTTTATATATAGCTAAGTAGGTAAAGTTGCAGGAGTGTACACACCAAAATATTAACATTGGTTATGTTCTGGTGGTAGAATTTCAATTGGTAGTGTCCTTCTCCCTCCCCAGTTTTGTTTTTTAGTTTTTAAATGATGAAGTATATATTGCTTCTGAAATATGACATGATAAAGGAAAAGGATAGTTATGCCTTTGTAGAGGTGATGTAGAGTGGTCTGCAATCTTTTCAGTAATTAAGAGTCTAGAATATCTGCTCAAAGGAAAGGTAGCAGTGGGGGATTAGTTAAAAATAATGAAAAGACTTGAAGTGGACCTTGTCAACACTGCATTAAGGGAGCAGAGTATGGAAGGAACCTTGGATTTGGAGTTAAAACTCAATTCAAGACCCATCTCTGCCATTTTAGCTCCCCTAAGCTTCACCTTCCTTATTTCTTCCTCCTAAGAAATATCCCAGTAAAAGAAATTAAACTGAACTGTGCTGTGTAGTTGGAACACAAACATTTAGTAACATATTGCAACAACAGTGAAGACTGACTGAAAGTAGGTAGTCTAAGTTTATAGTGTTTCAGAGCTTGGCACAGTTTCATGATTCAGCAACATTTTATTCATTGATTGGACATGTATTGAGAGTACAGGGTGCCAATCTATAGAGATAGAAGATGCAGTGCTTGCCCTTAATGGGCTTACAAGCTCGGGGGAAGACAGATGATTAAGGTACAGTGTGAAAAGCGCATCGTAGCTGTGTTTAAGAATCTGGGAGAGCTCAGAGGAAGGATACCCCATGTAGAATGAGGTGACTCTGGAGGAATCTTGAAGAATCAGATGGGGAAGGTTGTTCCAGGGAGAGGGAACCTCATGTACAAAAATTCAACAAATGTGTAATAAACCCATTTAAAGGCCGGGTTTATAAACCCAACCAAGAGATAAGTAACATGCCAGGATCACCCATCTAAGATAGGGTTGAGTTGGGACTTCAGAGGGGTCTTTGGGACGCCAGATTCTACCTTATTCCATATTGTACTTGAGGAGACTGAAGCTTAGAGAGGTTAAGTTGCCAAAGGTTACTGAGCTAACTGTTGGCAAGGTTGTGGTTCATATCCAAGGCCGGAGGCTGAGCTGCTAAACATTGATGCTGAACTGCCTATAATTTCATGCTTATTAGTATTAAAAATCAAATTATTACCCACTCCCAACCTAACAGAGTAAAATTCTGTGACTGGTGAATATATATAAATGTATCTGGTATTTTGTGGTGTGATTATGTGGATTTATGTATTTAAACATTATTTCTATTTCAGTATATGATCTTCCCCAGCGGCCTAATGATGTTCAACTCTTTTATGGAAACATGCGTAAAATTATGCTTGCAGTAATTGGAGAATTCAGAGGTTCCATTTCTAGCAGAGAATTTCTTCAGCCTTCTTCTAAAGCTAACTTAGAATCTAAAAGGTAAAACAAACAAAACATCTGTCAACAGACCTTTAAGATTATTTGATTCATAGTATAACTGGTCTTTTCCCTGTACTTTATTTATGTATTTGTCTCAAAATGTTTATTTCATCTTTATATTTTTGGTTTCAGTTGAAATAATTTCAAATATATGGAAAAGTTAAAAAATCATTCAGAGACCTCTCATATACTGCCTGCACTGATACTCCCCAGTTTTTAACGTTTTACCCATTTACTCTGTTGTTCTTTATGTATATGTAGCTTTTTTCCGAACCATTTAGGGTAAGTTGCAGGATGACCACCAAATAGCCCTGAGTTTCTTAAAAACCCAGCTGCTCTCTCACGTCGCCGTGGCAGACGCGTCAAGATCAGGGCAGACAGTGACACAGCCAGTGCCGTCAGGCCACAGGTCCATCCAGACTTCCCCAGTTCCCCAGTGCTGTCCTGTATAGTTAAATCACACAAACAGAAACCTTTCCCCTTCCCCTTCCCCTGTAGTCCCGAATTTAATCTAAGATCACACCTTTGGTTAGCCTGTCTCTTTCATCTCTTTTACTATAGAACAGCTCCTCTTTCCTTATCTTCCATGACTGAGATATCAGAGGGGGTTGAGTTATCAAATCAGATCAAATAAAAGATTTTAGATATTAACCAGAATCAAAGATACTGACCAGAATTAAGCTTTACTAATAATTTAAATTATAACTTATGTGGTATTTTTGCAAACATGTATGCTGTATAAATTCATAAGTTTCAGATTTTTTTTTGCCATAAGCAATTCTAGACAGACCAGGAATATACTGTTCAACATGCTGAGGACATTAATGTCCTTAATGCTGAGGACATCAGTGTGTTTGCCAGGAGATGTCATCAGCAAGGTGACATCTGGGGGATTTCACCAGGTCGTCTTTCTTTCTTTTCTGGGTATTCCTTGGGAAAAAGGAGAAAATAGGCTGTAGGCCAGCTGCTAACTGGCCCTTTTCTTACCAATGAGCTTGATGTTTCTGTAGAGTGCAGGTAGTTACTGTGTAAATATTCCTCAGTTTGTAGATTCTGAACACCACAGAAATGCTATTTGTTTTCTCAGTGCGTCCTCTCCGAGTGGTAAAACAATGCTGATTTGTCCCAGTCCTGGAAATATTTTTATCATTTAGTTAAAATGGTGTCTGCCAGGTTTCTTCACCATAAAGGTAGTTAAGATCTTGGAGAAGGTGAATCATGTTGTTCCTCATCAAACTTTTAGCACCTAGTGATGAGTGCTACCTGAATCACATATTACTGTCTTGTTTACCAAATAGTGATTTTTCTGATTTCATTTTCCTACATTTATTAGTTGTCTTTGCACTGTGAAGAAGAGGTTTACTTTTCCCTTTTTTGTGTACTTACTCACTGATTTAGGGCGGACTCATTGGTTCAGTATTAATCCTTTACCGTCATCATTTGGTCCCTTAATTCGGCTCCTTGACGCTTCTCATGTGCTCACGTCCTTCTTTGAGCACTTCCTTATTCGGCGGCACAGCAGGGTAGTCTAGGCCTGTCTTCCAGCTTCCCTTCCAAACCCTAGAGCAGCTGAGACTTCTCTTAGAAGTCTCGGTTCCTTTTGTCAGAGAATGGTATTGAAACCAGGACATGGGTAGTCAGTGTGATACTACTTTTGAGATGTCATTACTTTTAGGCTTCCTCAGTGGACAGAGCTAGGAAACAAATGCCTTTATATATAAGTCGACATGTATCCATATCTGTCTATAAATATGTTAAAACTATGAGTTTACACTGATACTTCCAATTCTAATCTAACAAAAGACAATGTATTCCTTTTTTCTTTTCTCTAATTGTACCTTTTTTCTCCAACACTGAGAATCCTGGCTCTATTATCCTCAATATATTTACATGTTACTCATTCCTTCTGTTTTTAAGCAATCTTCTCATCACATGGGCTGTCTCCCTGGGTCCAGTGTTGCCAACTCATATTGCCTGAGAGTTCCTTTTAAGTCCCAGTGCCACCAACTAAGCTCACTGCTAACTCAACAGCCACCTATCTTCATCATCCCAGTGCCTCTAGCTCATGCCAGCTTGCTTGCTTTTCCCTATGCTTAATAATGTTAATTTTCTTCTAAGATATTCAATCAAAGAAAGAATTAAAGGTAGTTACATATATTAAAAATTATCTTGAAAATCACTTATTGTGAAGTGCTGGTTCTTAGGAAGCTAAAAAGCCAAGAATAAACTTCTTTATTTTTAAAAACGATTCTTGACATTTGGCAGGTAACTCCATTATTTCCCTGAGGCAGTAGACTCTGCTTTGAAAAGGAGAGGATGAGAGGGCAGTGGGTAAGGGTGATTTCTCTGTTGCTGAGTGTTGACATAAAGATGTTGTTCCACTGTAGGGTAGGAGAGTTTGAATTCTGCACAGTTGAACTATAACTGAGTCATGCTCTTTTGTGATATCAAAATTTATTTGAACTACAGTTTTTTGTAATCTAAGGCTTATTTGAAAACATGGCTTCAACACTTAATTAAAAACTTGTTAAACCTTATTAGCATTTTTTACTGTGGTATTTTTCCCAGAAAATTTTCTTATGTTCAGGTTTTTTGGTGTTAGCATCTGAAACTAGTTATAGATACATTAAGAGTTTCATTGTTTTTTTTTAAAGTTCTTAATACTGCGTAATTTTCTAGTAAATTCTTGTAAGAGACCTCAGGTGGCATGCAGAAGTCAAAGCAGGAGAGAAATTACTCACTGAGTATTCTTAGTAAAGATTAGTATAATAGTATTTGACCTTTTCTGCATTTTTCATGCATTACTTTAAGAATACACAATCTGAAGGATTTTATTCACTGAGAAATGCACAGTATGTAATGCACTTTCAGTTTTATCTAATTGTTTTTAAGTTTATGAGGAATTAATTTTAAAATGTGACACAATCTGGCTTTTTATCACTTCTAATTTTTTTCTTCTTTCTTTCTGTAGTGAATCTGACAGTCTTGGGAAACACAGTGGCAATGTTTCTTTGGATGTTTTACCAGTTAAAGGTCCTCAAAGTTCTCTACTTTCACAAGTTGTTCACCTACCTCAAGATAAATCATCATCTGAAGAAATGTGGACTGTTCAACCTGAACACTTGATTTTGGTAGCACCTTCTACTTGTGAGTATGTCAGCGATGACATGACAGGAATGCACTCTGAAACCCAGGGCTGTACTTGCTTTGTACCCATGGCTCATCTAGGAAATATACGTGGACTTTATGTACAAGTGACTGGTGGCTTTCATAGGTACTCCTCTCACTCACTAGAGACCCAGCTCAGACTTGACCTCAGCATCATTCTGACACAAGGCCATGGTCCTCAGTCTAAGTTCCCAGTTCCCTGTCTGGCAGAGCCACTTAAGATCCATGGTCCCTTCTTCCCACCACATCCTCTGCCCTAAAGAAATCATTTGGCACTTGGCCTCTTTTACCCTTAACATTGATATAGTTGGTTCAGAGTAGGAATAACTCTGGTACCTATGTATATGCCCAAGACCAGGTGGTAATAACAATTTCCAGATTTTTTCTCTCCCTTTGTTCAGTATTTGAACTTTGTTCAGTGTCTTTGAGTTTTCCAAGAGTAAACAGATGGTCTTGCTTTACCAGGGACTTGAAATTCCTGTAACTGGGCAGTTGAGAAAGCAAAATAAGCTGGTTTACTAGTTTACTTACTTAGGATTTATTTTTACTGTTTATAACCTTGTCTTTTTCACTAATGCTATATGTAAGTAACATTTATTTATCTGATATAATAGGTGATTTGGCAAAAACTGCTCGTTTCCAGATTTTAAATAATTCTGTTAGGTTACTGAAATTTGAGCTGTACTGGCCAGCACACTGCCTTACAGTGACACCACAACATGGATTTATTGAGCCAGAGTAAGTATGCCTTCTCTTTCCTCTGGGCGTGTTATTCAGATGCTGGCATGGTAACTTTTTAAGGATCAAATAATATACTGTTTTCATTTATTCAGTAGAACTTTGCCATGTGCTGACTCTGTACAGTGTGCCATGTATGGTTCTGAGGGACTTACAGTGAGTTCAAGACTCATGCTACTTAGTGGAATAAAGACCATGTCCATAGCAAATATGATATATAGCCTACAAGGGTCAGGAAAGACGTGTGAGGTGGGAAAGAGTTCTTGGAGTAGAAGACATCAGAATGTTACTCTGACTACAAAATTACAAAGCAAGGGATACAATCAGATCTGTGATGAGGGGTGGTGGTCTCTGAAGCCCAAATGGTCTGCCTTTCATTACCTTGGATTTCGCTCCCTTATTCTATAGGTTTTGTCTAAAGGGCATTTTATAGACACAGCTTCCTGACTGGATATGTCTGAGCCATAAACCTAGCTTGCCATTTTCTGCAGAGACTATTCTAAGATAGAAGGAAGTCTTTGGCGGCCTAAAGTTGATAAGCAGCTGTCCTTTATATGCAGCTTAATTATTGATGGGAGGTAAAGCCACAGCTCCGCAGCTTTTTAGGGACCGTGTCTGGGTCAGCACAGAACATTCACATCTGAAAGTTGCTTCATATTTAGGAATAGCAGTTTTGCAGAAGAACAACATGAAGTTTATTTACTTTGCAAAATGATGGAGTATACATTGTAGAAGTTTACTTGACTAAGACCTGAGGTAAGGTATGGTTAGGGACACTCAGAGAAACATTCCTAGGACCAAAGCAGTCAATTAAACGCTTACTAATTAATGGCTGAAAATTTAGAGAAATGATAGGACAGGTTGTTTACAAAAAACTTTTCCCATTGCCCACATGTTTAGCTATTAGCAATGGAAAATAATCTTCCTATGCCATTTTTGATGTGTACTGAAATAGCTTTTATAACTGGAGGTTTAAGTCGCAAATCTGACTACATTGTCCATATCTCTTCTTTGACATCCCATAGCTCTTGAAGACAACAGTGAACACAGAAAATTTTAGCAACTGGGAAAAAAGAAACAATCTTTTTTCATTCCTTTATTGTCTTCTCCCTTTTCTTCCAGTTTCCTCCCATCTATTACGTTTTCTTCGTACTGGGACAGTATCATTCTTTATTCTCAAGCGGCTCAGAGCTTCTAGGATTGGTCTTTTGCTCTAGAAATTTTAATTTTGAATTGTTTTTAAATGGTGTTTCTACAGTATGGTCTGTTTTTTCACGGGAGTTTGCTCTTAGTTTATGGGTTCATACTTCTTTCTGTTAGCTGCTGAGTTGGGGTTGACGCAAAATCAGATGTGTATGGGAACTCACCTCTGTCATCTGCTCTTCCTGAGCAATAGGGAAATAGTTGTTTTTGATAGGATAGTATTTATAACTGTTGTGGTTATTGCTATTAAAGTATAGGATATTCTTGGTTTTCATTATTAAATTCTTTTTTTAAGGAGTAAGCTGCAAATTCTTGTGAGTCCTAATTCCTCCTCATCTGCAAAACAGTCAATGTTCCCATGGAGTGGTTTGATCTATATACACTGTGACAATGGACAGAAGGTACTTGTTAAAGTTTTTTTGAGCAACATTTCTCTTATTTTAACTTATGTTGTATCTTAAGTGTTGTAATTCTTATTAGCACTTACATTTCAGAAATCAAATGAAGGTGTCTGCTTTTTCAACCCAACTAGACTTATTTAAATAGAGCATTTAGTACAGAGATTTTCCATTAGTGATCTGAATAATTTTCCTGGGAGGGGGCAGGAATGGAGAGTGGTGTCTAGAAGCCATTATTAATTTGTAAAATTTGCCTTGAAAAAAGGGGAGTTTGGGCATAGGGGATAAAGTCAAAGATTTAGTTTGATCTGAATAAACTTTAATTTCTAAATTCATCAGTATTTTGTATGGCATCACTTTTCTCTACCACGACTTAAAAATAAGAATTGTTTCTTTAAAAGTTGTAGCTACATTTGTGTATTATCCCTTTATTTGGCTCATTTCAGAAAATTGTGAAAGTTCAAATTCGAGAAGACTTGACTCAAGAAGAACTTCTCACTCGTTTGGCCTCCAGGCCATTTGGAATCCCTCCTCCAGTGACTGAGCCTTTAACTAGGCATCTTATAAAACCAATGACAAAACCACCTTCCACAAAAGTTGAGATAAGAAATAAGACTGTTACTTTTCCTACAACAGAACCTGGTGAAACTTCAGGTATCGTATCACAAGATTATTTAATTCAATGTCTACTGACATATTGAGTGTAATATTCTTTATTTAACCATATATTAGTGATAGGTACAAAATTTTACCCCCTTCAGGACAAAATCAAGCAGGTTTTGGCAATCATTTCAATGATGAGATGGATTTGGGGGAGCTTAAAAATCATAACTTTTAAGGTACTTAACAATCTGTGTATTCTAGGAGTCTTACATTTTATTTGGTCAGAATCATCCTTCCTCAACTCTCACTAGATCTTTGACTAGAATTGCTAATAACTTGGTAGCTGAAGATGAGAGGAAAGTGGGTAGAGCCTGGCTCTGTCACTTACTGAGGTGGCTTTGAGAGTCAGTGTCTGTCTCTCTCCCCTCTCTCTCGGCTCAGCGTAAAGGACTAGGATTATACTTGGGACGTATTAGAAAGAATTTGGGACCATCTGTTACTTGGCCCTTAGCTCCTGGCTGCTTTCATTGATTTTGTCTTCCACTCAATCTGTTTCCTACATCCAAAATCCCCTCTTAGATTTTGTCATCACCAATAGCTATACCACATTTTCACTCTCAGTTTCAAGCCTGACACGTCCTGACCATCACCCTCCTATCTTTCCAGCTCACTTACTCGGAATTACAGGAGTTCTCTGACCTCATTCCGCCCTCCAGGCTACTGACTCTACTACCTTTTCACTCTCTAGCACCCCGCCCATATCCCACTTCTCTGATAACCCTCCTTGAATTCTGTGGTCTATCATTGTAACTACTGCTTCTCATTCTTAACTTCCTTGTGCCCCCTCTCCTGCCACATTCCTGTCAGGCAAAATTCTAACCCGTGTTAAAACCAATTGTTTGCCTGGCCGGGCGTGTCTCAGGGGTTGAGCATCAACCTAGGATCCAGGAGACTGTGGTTTGATTCCTGGTCAGGGCACATGCCTGGGTTGCTGGCTCGATCCCCAGTCAAGGGCATGCAGGAGGCAGCCGATCAATGACGACTTTCTCATCATTTATGTTTCTCTCTCTCTCTCCCTCTCCTTTCCTCTCTCTGAAATCAATTAAGATATATTTAAAAACAACCCAATCAGCCAATTATTTACCTACTCCATGTCCCTATCTTAGCAGCAGAACATTGCTGGAGAAAACTACAGCCATGCTGACTGATTCATGAGTGCAACTCTCAGATCAACAACACTGGGCTCTCTCCCAGCCCTCCTTAGTATGTGTCCTTCACCCATCTCTAACAGTTTTTAACAACTCCTTTCTTAAAGCTCCTACTCCCGCTATCCTCCTGTATTCCTGCTCTCACTCTTTCCAACTCTTGACTTTGCCTCACAAATCATTGAAAATACAGAAGCCCTGAGGCTAAATGAAAGGCTTCTGTTTCCATCAAAGATAAAACCCTTTTGCTTGGAATCTATTCTCGCCTTCTCAGGAACTTCCTCCGGCTCTTCCTCTCTTCTGTGTCATCAGTTTTTCCTTAGCACACAATATGCTCTACTTTCACCTATTTATGAAGTGCCCTCCTAAGCCTTGCTGCAGCTGCCCACTTCCTCAACACCCCTTCCTAGAGAAGTGATTATACTCCCTGCTTTAACTTCCTCAGGCCGTTTAGATGCTGCTACCACCATGCCCTGAACCCACTCCTATCCAGGCCACTGAAAAAGCCCCACTTTGCCAAATCCAGGGTCTCTGCTATGTCGTTGCTAAATTGACCTCTCAACTGTTGACCACTGCTTCCTCTTTGGAATACTTTCTTCTTGGATGCTCTCATGCTCTTTCTCAGGTTCTGCTGCTGATGACTCTTCCTGGACCTGCCTGTGTCCCCTTTCTTCTCTGCTCTCCCTGTGCCCCAGAAGTACACACCAGGCAAGCTGCTCAGCTTCTGCATATGGGCCTTTCACAAAAACAGAACACTTGTTTCACTCATGAAACCTGCTTCTGCTTTAGCCTCACCCATGTCTGTCAGTAAGTGGCACCACTGTTGAGCCAAATCCCTGGAAGTTGCTTTCTTTTCCCTCCCTCCCTCCTCCTATCCAGTCCGTTAGCTAGTCCTTTGCAGTCTGTCTTCAAAGTAAATCCCATATCTGGCCACTGCTTTTCCTCCCATTGCCACGATTCAAGTTGATGCAGGCTACCTCATGCATTGTCCCTCAACAGCACTGCTGCAGCAACAGCTTACCAGGGCTCCTTCTTTCACTCGGACCCCCTTGCAGTCTCTCCTACACTGCAGCCAGTCAATTCTTAAAAATGGAAGTCAGCCTATTGCTTCCTTGCTTAAAATTAAGCCTTTTGGTAGCTTGGCATTGCACTTTGATTAAATCCAGGATAGGATCCTGTCAAATGTGATTTTGTTAGAAAATACTGTACATACTTCCTGTTGGACTGCTCTAGGGATCTGATGGTTGTATTTTTTTCTATGGTGATGTAATCACAGTAATTTTGCTTATTTATTTAACCTCTCCAAGACTGAGTTGTTACACATATGTTTCTTTTAGAGAATTATCTGGAACTTCAGAATCATGGAAACACAGAAGTGAAGTGGTATCTGTCATCTTTAGCTCCACCTTATGTCAAGGTCAGTAATAATTGCTACCAGTGTAATTGTTTTAATGTTTAAATTTTAGGTAGGGTGTTCTGAAAATTGAATAATGAGTATAGGTTGAGATTATTGGCTTTTTGTTCCACTAATTCATTTACTTGATTTTCTCCAGAGATCTGGCTAATAATACCCGCTCAGTCTTTTTCACAAGGTGGTTTTGAGAGTCAAATTAGAGAATGTACATGAAAATATGTACTTACTCCATTTAATGCTGTCTCCTACAGCTGATTTTTATCTGGAATAGCTTTATTTTGAAGAATATATAAAGTTTTATCATAGAGTAGAACATTGTGTGTGTGCATGTGCATGCACATCTTTCCCTCCCAGGTTCTGTGTACCGTTGTATGTTTTCCACCAGTGGGAGCTAGTGCAGGAGGCAGAATTGAATGTTTTTTGCCACTGAGTGTTAGCCTACTGTATACTGCAAGTAATCTCTCCCAGTGGGCACTGCCTGAATTGAGTGTGTTGTTATGTGTATTGTTTAGAACACTGTGGCCTTTTTGGCATGTATTTTGTGTGAACCATATTAACAAAATGTGTGCAAAAGATAATGCTATATCTACTGAAAAGAAATAAAGAACTGGTATTGCATTGGATGTTAAAGTACACATTCAGCAGGATCTTCAGGGTCTTTGTGGAAAATGCAGTCCTTCAACATTATGAATAGCAGTCTAAAGATCACTAGCCAGGAAGAAGTGGCTGCTGGTGTAGAGAGGAGAGTGAACATGAGGCCTTGTGTGAACAGAGTCTAATAGCGCTCCCACTCTGAGGCAGGCATTGAGCTCTCCTTGTCCACTGCAAAATGGGTTTGCATGTCCTTGATAACCATAAAGGTGATGGTGTCATTCAGAATTGTTCCATTAAGTTGCATATTTTTTCATTTGATTATTTAAATGATTGCTTTATAGGGAGTTGATGAAAGTGGAGATGTTTTTAGAGCTACTTATGCAGCATTCAGATGTTGTCCTATTTCCGGTATAGTGGAAAGCCATGGAATCCAAAAGGTGAGTTTTGACATTGTTTTTACAGCCAGCTGGTATTGATTGGCCAGGAGTGTCTCATTTGTTTCCACCCAGAGCAGTTTACTTCACCTAGGCCAGTGCTGCTCACAGCCAGGCTGCCGCAGGAGGAGAGGCTCAGAACAAGTCAGTGGATTGCTTCCCACAGCAGAAAGCCTTGCTCTCTCAGCAGCAAAACAAAATACCATGCTTAGTGGCATGATTGATTTATATTTGGATTTAAGTACTTCATGTGGCTGCAGGATGCGTACTTATAACACACTTCAAGTAGCGCTAATCTAGACAAGTGTTTTGTGGTGGTGTCACACATTTGGAGATAGACTACAAACCAGTTGAAATGGGTGTATTGTGTGGTATGTGAATTATATCTCAGTAAAACTGTGAAAAAAGAAAACTGAGGGTGCAGGGCTAGATTGTCTTCCAGGGATTTTTCACACAATACTTAACATAGAAATGTAACCTCCATGATTTTTGTTGTGTTCATACTGTATATCCTGGCCTAAACCAACATTTACCATCTTGTCAGATCACATTTGTCAAATGAATTCTAGATCTGGTTTCTTAATTTAAGGTGGGGAGGGGGGAGCAAGGCACTTCATTCTGAGACCATTTAGGGAAGTATTACCAAGTAGCACAATTATTGATGTATATAATAGTGTTCTAGAAGGCGGGAAAAATTAGTTACAACCTAATTCTTAAACTAAAAGATGTACACAATAATTTTTTGAAACATTGGTCAGTTTGACGTGGGATTAAATGAGCTAATGAATGTTAAAGTTCCCATTATGTTCCCACTGTGTGACATGCAGTAATATTAGGTTTTCTTTCCTCTTTATTTTTTGGTGTTGGAAGGAGGTGTAAGTGGGACCCGTCTAATACGTGGTTCTGCCCCCAGTCGTTCCTGATAATTTGTTTATTTTTCTTCACTTAAGATATGGTTGTGTTCTTTCTTAATCTCAGTGTCCATGTCATCTTAAACAGTGTAACTCTCTCAGGCTTGCTGGCTGCATTGTTTCCTACGTTCTGTAGTGACAGAAACTAGGTCATGTAAGTGCATTAATGTTAAGTTCAGGCTCAAATACTGATTGTCACCCTAGCTAGTAGTCAGCATTTTTCACACTGAACTCTTTGGTGAAGTTCTTCCTTAACTCAGGTAAGCTGTATAAAATACTATTTTTAAATATTACAACTTTCATTATTTAGCTTTTTACAGGTTGTATGCATACAGTTCATATCTATAACTTTGAGCTGTATGGTCAGTGTAACTGGTTCTGACTGATGTTCTGAAGTTAACCATAAGAAAACCTTTTCTCTCTAAATTTAATAAAAACATATTTAAACATATATATTTTTTCCTTTAATTTTTTATACCAACACTTTGAGTTGGTAATCTAACTACATGTGTGTAAGATTCAGTGTCTAAACTTCTCTCCTGGGTGTGTTGTTTTATAGGTCTCAATCACATTTTTGCCCAGAGATAAAGGAGATTATGCCCAGTTTTGGGATGTTGAATGTCACCCCCTTACAGAGCCTCATATGAAACATACCTTGAGATTTCAACTCTCTGGACAAGTGAGTATTACACTAAATTTAAATAAATTATTGTGTGTGTATATTAAAAATACTAAGTGAAACTGACATGAAAAACTGGCCTGAAAATGCAGAATATTTTCCTGGTATTATTCTAATTTCATTAATTCTGCTGAATAGCCTTATCTTAATCTTCTCATTTATCTTTATTAATTGGCATATTTGAAGTCTGGGTTTGGCTTTATGAAATCTATGATTGTATTGATTAGATAAGATACTGTGTGTGTGTGTGTGCGCGCGTGTGTGTAAGAATCTGAGCAGTGGAAAGTATAGGGTTTGTGATTTAGGGAATTTAAAAATCTTAGGTCTCTCTTTATAAAATTGTGAAGGAAATAGTAGAATTAAAAAAGGTAAATGTCCATATGTTTTCCTAGAGTATTTATTTCTCTGCTCCCACCCTGTGATTTATTTTTATATAGAGTGTCAAAGCAGAAAATGAGCCTGAAAATTCATGCATTTCTACAAATACTCTTATTAAAATAGATAATTTAGTTAAGCCTCGAAGACAAGCTGTATCAGAAGCGTCTGCTCTCATACCTGGGTATGTTGTTCTTTGTCATTCTTACAAAATTTTCCCCAGTATTTTATTGAGGTATAATTACATTCAGTAAAATGCTCAGGGACTTTACCTATGAGTTTATGTGTGTTGTTATCACTCCAGTCAAGATAGAGACTATTTTTCTTGCAGTGGAATGTTCTTTAGTGTCCCTTTGCAGTCAGCCCCTGCCCTCACCCCAAGGTTTGTTCTGTTCTAATCTATTGAGATAGGTTAGTTTTGTCGCATATCATATACGTAGGCACTCTTTCTATCTGGCTTCTTTCACTTAACATACTTTTTTGAGGAATTCATTCGTGGTGTTGAGCAATCTGTAGCTTGTTCCTTTTTATTGTTTAGTATTCCATCATATGAACATTTCGTAATTGATTTATTCACTTTCCTGTTGACATTTGGGTGGCTTCTAATTTGGCGCCATTATGAAGGTGCTGTGAACATTATTATGTGTGTATTTTTGTGGACATATTTTTTTCATTTTGGGGGAGGTAAAAGTACCTAAGAATAGAATTGTTGGGTCATATGATAAGCATGTAAAATAAACTGCCAAGTAGTTTTCCTAAATCAGTTGTGCCATTTTACACAAATTAAAGCACTACTCCATAATTTAATATATCTAAATAGTTTAACTGTGGGTTTTAAATAGATAACTTTTAAACCTATTTTTAAAGCAGACAACTTGACCTGACCTACCGTGGAGTTTATGCCCCAGAAGATGTGTATCGGTTTCCACCAACTAGAGTTGGGGAATCAAGGACATTAAAAGTCAATTTGCGAAATAATTCTTTTATTACACACTCGGTAAGTTGGAAATACTACTGTGGGTTTTAGAAAAAGGAATGTATCCAACTATTTGATAAACATTTTCCTGGTAATTAGAAGCTTTATGTTATAGATTAAATTTAAGTTCTAATAATGAGTTAGTTTTTAAAATGCCTTAATACCATATTTAAAAAGAAACTCATGGAAAGGTCACGACCCTTTACCTGAAAATCAGAAATATTTAGCACTTGTTTTTGTTTTCATACTTTTCATTTTTTAGCTTTTTCTTTGTTCTATACCATCAGACCAACATATTTCTTGATAACATTTACTCTAGTCAAAACTAGAGTAAATACGTATTAAAATTTTCCCTTATGTGTTTTTATGAGCATTTATTGCCTTACCTAATTTTGTGGCTATACTTAAATTTACGTATGTAAATGTTATATTCAAATATCCAACTTGCATAACTTCATAAAGTGTTTCATGTTAAATTGCAGCTAAAGTTTTTAAGTCCCAGAGAGCCTTTCTACGTCAAGCATTCAAAATATTCTTTGAGGTGAGTTTATTATAAATAAAATGTTCTCATCCTAGTGCAGGAATTTGTTTTCAAGACATCAAGATTTCTCTTGGGAGTTAGGACTTGTGAGGTCTCCCTCTGTTGCGCCCCTCATCCTTATCACCAACACTGCAGAGCAGTAAACACATGGGTCTTTTTTATTATTATTATTAATATGTTTTTATTCATTTTAGAGAGAGAGGAGGGGAGAGGAAGAGAGAGAAACATTGATCGGCTGCCTCCTGCATGCCCCCTATTGGGGATTGAGCCCGCAACCTGGGCATGTGACCTGACCCGGAATCAAACCAGTGACCTCTTGTTGCATGGGTTGATGCCGAACCACTGAGCCACGCTGGCTGGGCAACACATAAGTCTTCTTAAATAAGAAAAGAGATGAGGAGCCTAAAGGGAAAACATTTTGTGACTGAACACTAGTGTGCTTTACAATGTAGCAACCCAACCTTCATGCAATGTTTTGGACTTAGCATGATTCCTGTTACCCAGTATTGTGTGAGCCACATAAATACATGGAACCTTAATTATCTTGTGATTGATTTTAGAATAATTCCTCCTTCAAATATTTTCACTGTGCTGAAAATGAGCAATTTAAATTTTCACTAATTTGGACAAAAATTAGTTTTCCCAGATTAATTGGGAAAACTTTCATTATGGTATTTTAGAGGTGTCGTTCTTCAAGTACCCTATGTTACTTTTAGATCAGGGCCTCATTTTCTTATTGTCCTTACTAATTTTCTTTTTTCATATGATGTACATTTAAGTTGAAATATGAAACTTGTCTGTCTCTGTTATTTAAGTTCTATTGGATTTAATTCTGAAGAGTAATTTTATCTTCGTCTTTAATTAAACTAATTATAAGATCTTTCATTTTAGCATTAGGAGACTATTCAAAAAACATGTTGTATTCTAAGAAAACTTGGACCATTCAGCAAACATTCTAGGGCTGTCTTTACTGAGGTACTAAGACCAGCAGTGCTATACCTTAGGAGCTTACACATAGATCTAGGTACTGAAAAGGGGGAGGCCTGTTCCCTCCACCTCTTACCTTTTCATTCTTTCATTTCTTTCACCACCCTTCTGCATCGTAGGTACTGTAAAACATGTTATTTTATGTACTTGGGTGTTAAGCATGTTCTTTGCCTCCTAAGAAGGATAACCTGGAGACAGAGTGCAAATTCAACAGTGAATATATCTAGAAAATTATCATAGATTTAATGTCTTTAAACCTCAATTTCCGAACTGGTAAAATGGAGATGATTATGCTCCTGACAGCATGTAATTGTTATGAGGAATACGCAAAGGTGAGTGAGTATTAGTGCCGGTCATAGGAAGCACTCAGCTGATGATGGTATCTTCAGTGTTATTAGTGAAGCCCTTCTTTTAGTTGGTCTCACTGGCAGGATCCATCAAGACTAACTCCAGAGATTTTGGTATAACCTTATGGTTTCCTATCAGTGCTTTCCCATGTAATCCCTTCAGTAACTACATAGAAGAGAAAGGCCTGAGTTTTAAAAAACTGCTAAACCCAAGTTTTCCAGCTTCTCTGCTCTGTCAGAGTTCTTGTTTCCCAGCAGTCTGTGGACCTCTCCACAGTTAATGAAGGTTTGTTTGCCTTGATTGATTTAAGACCAGTGATGTTATACTAGTGTTATAATAGGTTGGTACTATTAAATACATAGTGGCATAATTGCAGAAGTGATTAGTTTATTTAAAAATAGTTTATTTAGTCTGGCCAGTGTGGCTCAGTGGCTGAACATCGACCCATGAACCTAGAGGTGAAGGTTGGATTCCTGGTCAGGGCACATGCCTAGGTTGCTGGCTTGATCCCCAGTAGGTGGCGTGCAGAAGGCAGCCAATCCGTGATTCTTATCATTGATGTTTCTGTCTCTCCCTCTTCCTTCCTCTGTCTGAAATCAATAAAAAAAATAGGTTATTTAAATTCCCAATTGTAACTTTTTAGTAACTGAGTACAAAGAGACACTGTACAAATGACCTGTCCTGGATACTATTGTTATCTGAGTTCGAACTTGATCATAACTGCATCATTAATTCTGCTTCCCTTTAATCTCTGCCTGGTTCACATCCTGATCTTAACAAGCTTTATGCACTCATGTATCTTTAAACACAAAGTAGACTGGGTGGAACACTTTGGTGTAAATAGCATACGGCTGGCAGAACTTCTGGAAGGGCTTCAGATTTTTGTTTCAGGGAGCTCTTACGTGAAAAATTATTTTTTTAAAGAAAAGCTTCTTTAAAAAGTTCCAAGAACTCTTATAGGTGTTTTGTTTTGGTTTTTTCTTTTCATTCCCTTGAGCAGCCTAGTACCGACTTTTTTTAAAACAAAAGATGAGCATTTAGCTCATCCAGAGTTTTGGTAGAGAATCATTATTTAAAATAGGTGATACATTGCTTAGCTTTATGTCACTATTCCCTATTCTATGGCCAGAGGGGGAGGTAGTCAAAACTTGCCTGGAGTTAAACATTTATTTTCCAGCTTTCATCACTGAATACATTGTGGTTTGAAATTTTCTTTTGATATATATTTTTTGCTTAATTTGATTAACAGATTTTTAAAAAATTCTATTTCAGCTGAAATTTGTAAGCCAAATTAGTTACCTTCTTGACCCTTTGCAGAAAAAGAACCTAAACGTGTTCCATTGTAGGTGTTCCAAGCAGTTGTTTATTCCTAACATGGAGTATAGGAGCAAGACGAACTGAATGGAAAGGGTATGAGGGAATTGGAGTGGCAGTCCTTCTGTAGTGTCTAGTAGTTGTCATTAAGGTATTATAAATTCATAGAATACTGACATTACCTAAAATCCAGTATAAGTTTGGCAGTTAAAATGTCAGATTATTTTCGTATTAGTCACCCTTTTTTTTGTCATCTAATTTTTTTAACAAACTAGTACTGATATTTTTTTTCTGGATTTAATATTTGTCTTACTAGAATTAGCAGTGATCACTGCTCTTCCTCATTTTCATGTTCATCCTGACTAGTAACAGACATAATGAAAAAATCCTAATAAGAAATTAAACTTTTATAAATGAGATGGCATTTTGCTTAGCTTCAACTTGTTTTCTAAAAACCAGTTTTGATATATGAAATGTGTTTGTTGCAAACTATTTAAAAGTAGATATTTTTATAGAGTTGAACTTGTTGACTCACCATTCCAGTGCTAGAAAATTTTAAGGTCTCATAAATTAGAGCACTGCTTTTCTCTGCAGCCTACGTCATGTTAATAGCACCTAAAAGAACTTAGAAATATGAGAATATGTTTTTAATTTCAGCAGAATTGGAGTGATTTACATAAGCTAGCATTTAAAATAGCATCACAAGATACATGTGTGCTTTATACTCTTTGAACATATTACTTTAAAATATTTTAAAATTTTTGTTTTGAAGAAAAACATAAATAAGGTAATTTTATACTTTATTAGTGGCAGCTACTTATTACTCTGAGCACAGTGAGTTTCCAGAAAGTTTTCATCCATATTAACTGTCGTCGTGGAACTTAGGGTAAATATGTAATGTTACAGATTCCAGCATCAACTCTCATAGCAGCAACTCAGTGTAAGTTTGATAAGAATAGGAAAATCTTGTGGTGAAGCATGGACTCTGTGATCTCTTTAGCTAAATGAAGTAAACTGTGGGGTGTAGAAAACTTCTTTCAGGACACATCCATAGGCTTAAATTTTACATAAAGGAAGGTGGAAAAGTTGGTTTCTCTATACATAAGAATGACTTATTTCAGTTTTGGAGAAGCAGAACTTTGCTGCACTATCTCCCTTGAGAACTTTTACCACAAAACTGAAATAGTGGATGCTGTTCTTACTATAAGTGTTGAGTGTTTTTGCATAAGTCCCAAATATTAGACACTTTGACTTTGGACAAGGGCTCATGAAGTATAGTTGTTAGTTGAGATGAACAGTTAGCTTACTTTGGCAGGTGGAACAAAATCTATTCTGAGAAACAGTTCCCAGCCTTTCATTAATCACATTTTCGTTCACTAGATCACTGTCTGCTCTGTGACACCATTAACTGCACACTTCAGAGTGATAATGAGACTTCAGTCATTTGTAGGGCACATGAGATAATAATTGCCTGTGAGGCCTGATGGGGCTGCTTGCAGTAAGTTCTGACTTACAGAGTCGGAACTGACACATAAAAGTGGCATGGCTTGTGGGATATAAACTTACTGAAACATGAATGGGCAGGAGTTTCCCTCCAGAAGTTCCAGGGGTTTTGCCTAATGCAGATGTGGATGAGCATGAATGTATGTGGGGGTGTTTAACCCACTTAGTGGTAGATTTTTGTAAAGGTTCTTTTTTGGATTCTAGGTGGTCATCCCCGTCACATGTGTTTTTAAAAATAATTTGTTCATGTTTCTACTTAGCCCCCAAAAGGATCCTTCTGTTAACCCATTTTATTCAAGTCTAATATCTGTTGAGAAATCATAACTGGTGTGTTTCCCCCTCTCTGTGCCCAGGTCTCTATGCACACAGCGTGCTGTGGGTCCTAGCCAGCTGCAGCTTCTGAGCTGACAGACCCTGCCGTGTCATTTGAGAGGGAAGGACAGTTCTCACAGAGTCACAGCCAGGGAACCACACTATCACTGGGCTGTCATTACTTTTCACCTACACACAGGAACCAAGCATTTGTTACATTTTAAAAAATTTATCTGATAACGATGGTACCTTTGCTATGCTAATGTGCTTTTTTTCTACAAAAAGTGTTCCTTTTAAATTAAAAAATAAAAATTATGGGTATATAATTTGTAGGTTCTGATAAGCCCTTTACTGTAGATGGGGGCATGTGGGGAACCAGGAGGTTTAGAGTGCACCTCCAAGACTGCCTCTTTGCTTTCCTAATGTGTTATCACTTTTGCGCGCCTTTGCTCTAAAATTGATCTTGAGCTAGTGAAAGGTTTTGAACTATATTTTTCCATTGGGTTCAGCAAACTTGACTACTGCCTTTTCCCTTTTTAGTGTGTGTTGGCAGAGAGAGAGATTAGAGCAGTTTTTAATAATAGTACACGATGACATTTTAAAAAAATGTCCATCTTACTGGCAATGTTCTTTTCTAAATTGCACTCCACTTTATTCAAAGTATGTGTAAATCTAAAACAGATGACATATGTTTATCATAATATGTTTTTAAAAACACTCCCTCAGTTGAATATAGAACAGTTTTTTATTCCATATTGAAATTTGTTAATAATGGGACCTTCCAGAAATTTATTTTGGGTAATTTTATTACTTTTGGTAATTTATAAATTATGAAGCCTCTTAAGTTGGCAGATTGTACTACATTATTCTGAGTATTAAAATGCTAACATGAAAGAGAAAATTGTAGTTTGTCAGTGCCATGGGCTAGGTACCATAAAAGGTACATTAGCTTCAACATGGGAAAATAAGGTATTAATGCATTTGGAGAAACAACTTAAAAAATATACAGACACATATATATAATTTTTTTGTCTGCATTATCAGTTATATTCAGGAAAAGGGCTTTGAAGTACTCAAACCATTTCCTAAATTTCTAACTATTGGAAACAAAAGCATATTATCAGTTCTGATCCCTGAACTTTAAAGCATGTAGCTCTGAGGTGAGACGAAGGGAATGCAGTACCTCCCCTCTGAGGGAAGTCGGAAAGCCATAAATTTTCACTTGGAAATGACTCAGACTGAAAGTAGATAATATCGCACAGGCTGTGGTAAAGTATATGGAGTCTTATTCACCAGGAGAATAAATACGTATTTTTGAAGCTCTTGGGACCTCATTTTATGAACTAAAACCAACCTGCCAACATACTACTTTTATACGTAAGGCACTCATTACCTGCCTCAATATCATCTGAAAATAAGTTTTAAAGATTTTTGGTAAAGTTTTATATGAATTTTGGAGCAAAAACGATACATTGTTGTTAACGATGATCATGTGACAAGTCAGTTTATAATCTCCCCAGCGGAGGGTCGGGATATGCAGGGCATCCCCTCGCCCTTCCGTAGGCGGGCAGGCCCCTGCCTCTGCAGGCGGGCCGATGCTGCGCTCACGACAGGCCAGGACTCATCTCCACGCCGCCTTGTTATGGGTTAGCCAGGAGTGCGTGTGTGGTACTTTTTGAATCAGATTTTAGATTTTCCTCTCCTTTGTGCCAGTTTTGTAGTAAAATCATCAAAGAAATGAGAAATAAGTTTAGGTTGAATGTAACTGGACTAGGTTCTTCCACCAAAAACCCTCCTGAGCTCTCTGCCAGGCATTGTGTTTAACTGCGGCAGGTGAGTTGTTGCCACAGCATCAGGCTGCTGACATTTTCCTTTCTCTTTGCAGAGCCCAGCATTATATCAACATGCCCGTGCAGTTCAAACCAAAGTCGGTGGGCGTATTTGAAGCTTTGCTTGTTACTCAAACAGAGGAAGGCAAGAGCGTAGCTATTCGACTAATTGGTGAAGCTCTTAAAAAAACTAACTAGAATACATTTTGTGTAAAGTAAATGGCATAAGTTACATATGGTAAATTCATTTTTCTACACTACAATTATGCTTTTGTATATATTTTGTATGATAAATTAGATGTGTAAACAGTAGATTTTTGTTGTTTTGAGAAGCTAATACTGAAGACGTGACTAAAATATCATGTATCTGGCCTACAGTATTGTACTTAATTTTTACAGGGGAGAAGAAAGTTCTATTTTTGCATTGATTATGATATTCTGAATAAACTAGTATATATTTTAATGTGATATATCTAGAAATAAAGTTAATTTTCATCGAACTTGTGTTTTTTTTATATGATGTCATATAGAAATCAGAATATTGCTTTATTCTAATTATTACCAAGCTCCTGGGTCTGTTCTGTGACTTTTCTCTTCCGTTACATAGTTTTCTTTCCCTTAACAAATTCCTTCTCTCTTCCTTCTGTCCCTTAGCTAATTGCCCAGAGTAGAAAGGAAAGCTTTTTTTCTTTTTCCTTTTTTTTTAAATTTTTTAATTTTTTAATATGCTTTTATTGATGTCAGAGAGAGGAAGGGAGAGGGAGAGAGAGAGAGAAATATCAATGATGAGAGAGAGTCATTGGTCGGCTGCCTCCTGCACGCCCCCTACTGGGATCGAGCCCGCAACCCGGGCATGTGCCCTGACTGGGAATCGACCTGCGATCTCCTGGAACTACTATCTCCTGGATGCTGAGCCACGCCCGGCTGGGCAGGAAAGCTCCCTTTTAGTGAAATTGTTTTTCCCCAGAGTGGAAAAGTCTTCATATTCTATGCCAATACATTGGAAAGGTTGATGTATTTCAAGATAGCATTTATTGGAAGTAAAGCCAAGTGAGACAACTGCTCCATAATCTGGTCTGGAAGGGGCACTCTGCAGGTACTGGTGACATCAGGGCACTGAGTCACTGAGCAGGCAGAAAAGTGCTTCTCTGTGACAGCTTGAGCTGTGGCAAGGCGTGAGGTAGAGAAGGTGATGTGGTTTCCTGGTTTTACCAGGAAGAACATATTAATTGCTTCTCAGCCATTACTAGTAAGTCTCCTGATAAAGATTTCTGAGCCTCAGCTAACGGCCTCTCCTTTGGAGCAACAAAATCCCAGCTTGTGAGCATTTGTGTGGTGGGGCGGGGCGATCACAATGGGATATTATTGATGGAGCAGAAAGACCTCGGAATTGGGTAAAAGGTGCCTGGAGGACCTGAACCCAGTAGCAGTTTAGAACCTGTGATTGTGAGCTTGAGAGAGAAAAGTTCCTTCTTTTCTCTTCCACCTCATTTCCCTCTTGCTTAGAAACAATTTGTGAGAACAGTGTTCACAAGTTAAACACTTGTTGGTTTCACTGACGTTGCCCTACTCCAAGTCTAGGTATAGCTCACCAGTTGTGAGATGCCTTCACGTTTGAATGCGTATTTATTTGATGACAGTCACCCTCAAAAATTTTAAACTGATAGTTGCTTTTTAAAAATGTAACGCTTCCGTTTCTATGTAACCATCATTTTGCCTTTTAAGTAATACTCAGGAGGTCACAAAAAAGAAGGGTTACGCCAGCAAAGACACTTCAAATGTGACTCTCATAGATCAGGCACTATGGATATGCATTTCTTTCTATGCCTTCCTGTTTTGAAAACATGATGCTTAGAGTTTTAAGAGCAGTTGGATGCAAACCAAAGATTCGTTACAACCAGTCATCACTACTAATACTACTTATAGACCATTGGCTGTATCTCTAATGTGTAAGAGCATCTGATAGGCAAGGTTACAGAATAAGCTTTCCTTTCATTAGCTTTTCATCTAGAAGCTGATTTCCCTTCTTTCGCATCCATTCCCAGTTGGTATCTTGAGTCTTAATCTCTCCTCTGAGCTCCAGACTCTTATGTCCAACTGTGGATATTTCTACTTGGTTATCGAATAGGCATCTCAAACTTTGGTTTCCCTCCCTTCCTCAAACATATTTCTAACTTTCCTTAGCTCATCCAATTACTCAGCTAAAGCTCTTAAGTTTTGTGTCTTTTACCCTCACGCCCCACATCCACACTCTCCAAAATGTATCAAGTAAGTCCATGCCGTGCCCATTGTTGGCCTCAGTGGCCTGAGCCTCCCTCTCTTTCTCTCAGACCACTGCAGTAGTTATCTCACCAGACTTTTGCTTCTGCTCTTGGCTCTAGACCCCTTCCCCACCAGCCAGCAGCTACATTTTAAAAAAAGTAGACCAGAACCAAGACTCCCCTGCTTTTATATATTTATACAAAATTACGTTCCACATAGTCTGAAGACTGGACTGTCCTGTGGCCTTGGAGGCCCATCATCATTTGGCCCCTGCCCCCTTCCAGCCTCATCCAACCTCCCACCCCTTGCTCACTAAGCTCCAGCTGTGCAGCACAGCTGGTTCTGCACCTCCCCTGTGACGCCTTTCCTGACCGCCTTAACCAAGGTAACCCCGACTCCTTATTGCATCACACTGCATGACAGCCCCTCTTCTCTACCTGATACCTTCTCATATGTGTTTCCTAGGTAATTGTCTTCCTCCTCTAGAATGTAAGCTCTGCATGACTGTTGACCTATTCTCCCCGTCACTGCTGTGTTCTCAGACCTGGTCAGTGCCTCGTATGTGTGATGTGGCTGACTGGCCAGCAGCGCTCACTGCCCTGACCCAAATGTCCGAGCTATCCCTTCTTACCACTCCCAGTAAATATCATCCTACGCTTCCCCCAAGATTTCTTACCTGGTATCTCACCAGTCTTCTGTAGACAGTTCCTCATAATAATAGTTAAATGTTTATTGAGTGCTTCTATATGCCAAGTAATGTCCACTATGCTCTATATGCACTGTCACCCTTAATTCCCAGCAGCTTTTCAGACATAGACCCCTTCTTGGTGGGGAGGCCTCCCTGCAGCTGCAGCCTGCAGGTATCCAGGAGGGCATCTGGGGACAGATAGATGGGTTGGTAGTTGGCTGTAGGTGGGGCTGAGCATCAGGAAGGGGGGTGGGCTGCTCTGGGATGGCGTGGTGTAGATGAGCAAACTCGGATTCAAACCTTGGTTTTTCTGACTTGGGTGTCCAGCTGCAGATAATAGAAACTGTCACTGAAGCTAATAATTAGAGAAAATGTAGTATATGTCTGCTCTTACAAGTTTTATTCCCTCTGGTTGTAAAGCATCCCTGAGAAAGCAAATTAGCATGTTCAATTGTTGATAGGTATGCGTTTATTTCCATTTTATTGTTCATACTTTTTATCTTTTTTCTTCTTAAAGAAGACCTTTCAACATTTCATGTAATACTGGTTTGGTGGTGATGAACTCCTTTAGCTTTTTCTTGTCTCTTTATCTGACCTTCAATTCTAAGTGACAGCTTTGCTGGGTAGAGTAATCTTGGTTGTAGGTCTTCGCTTTTCATCACTTTGAATATTTCTTGCTAGTCCCCTCTGGCCTGCAAAGTTTCTGTTGAGAAATCAGCTGGCAGTTGTATGGGTGCTCCCTTGTAGGTAACTAACTGCTTTTCTCTCTCTGCTTTTAAGATTCTCTCCTTGTCTTTTACCTTTGGCATTTTAATTATGATGTGTCTTGCTGTGAGCCTCTTTGGGTTCCTCTTGTTTGGGACCCTCTGTGCTTCCTGGACTTGTAAGTCTGTTTCTTTCACCAGGTGGAGGCAGTTTTCTGTCATTATTTTTAAAAATAGATTTTCAATTTCTTGCTCCATCTCTTCTTCTGTGCCCCCATGAGCGAATGTTGGTATGCTTCAAGTTGTCCCAGAGGCTACTCACACTATATTCATATTTCTGGATTCTTTTTTTTTTTTTGCTCTTCTGGTTGGGTGTTTTCTGCTTCCTCATGTTCCAAGTTGCTGATTTGATTCTTGGCATCCTCTACTGTTGATTCCCTGTAAATTATTCTTCATTTCATTTAGTGTATTCTTCATTTCTGACTGGTCTTTTTTTATGTTGTTTGTTGATCTCACCTAGTTTCTTGAAATTCTCATAAGTTCCTTGAGTATCCTTATAGTCATTGTTTTTAACTCTGTATCTGGTAGTTTGCTTGCTTCCATTTCATTTAGTTATTTTTCTAGAGATTTCTTCTGTTCTTTCCCTTGTGACATGTTTCTTTGCCTCTGCATTTTGGTTGCTTCCAGGTGTTTGCTTCTGTGTATTAGGTAGAGCTGCTATGTCTCCTGGAATTTGTAGAGTGGCTTTGTGTAGTAGGTGTCTTGCAGGGTCCAGTGGCTCAGGCTCCCCAGTAACCTGAGCTGGGCACTCTAGGTGCTCCCCTGTGTGGGCTGTGTGCCCTGTCCTGTTGTAGTTGAGCCTTGATTGCTCTTGGCTGGGAGGAAATGATTCCCAGGCCAATTGGCTGTGAGGACCAGGTACAACCATAGCGGAAGAGCTGCTGTGCGGGAGATACCCCTGTGGAGCAGGACTTGCTTCAGTGGGGCTTTGGTGCTCACTGAGTCCACCCCTTGAGTGTGTCACTTGTGGATGTGGTAGGGTTGTAATCTGGCTTGGTCTGAAGCTGACCACCAGGTGCATTGGCTCTGGGGCCTCCTAGGAGGTGCAGTCAGCCTGGGGCCTTCTGGCACTAGCTACAGACCTATCTACAGATGGCTGCTACTTGTGTTGGGCTTGGAGGGGCCCAGGAGAGGCCAAGCTGTGAACCTTGACGAGCTGATGCTAGTGCCAGCTCTGGTTCTGGGGCCACTTATGGAGAGATATTGGGCTTGCTGAGGCCAGCTGCTGATTGTTTGGGAGATTTTAGGAAAGTCTGAAGCCTGAGCCAGGGCAGGCCACTCATGGAAAAAGCCACTGCAAACAGCTTGGGTGGGGCTGCAAACTGGGTGGAGTGGGGTCTTGAAATCACCAGGGTGGGTCAAACAGTGTGGGCCAGGTTGATGGAAACTCAGATATGGCACCTACCAGTTGGCTCTGTGGCCGGGTGATCTCAGCAGAGGAACAATGACCTCTGCCGGCACTTAAGTCTAGGAGAAAGCTGCCCCCCAGTTCTTGCCCTGGTGCCAATTTAGTTCCTCCCCATATACCTCTGGGTCCTTTAAAGCTGCTGCACCAGCACTGGAGCTCAGAGGGAGGGAGTTTGAGTAAGTCCATGTGTGGGCCCTTTAAGAGGAGCTGCCTGGGACTCCAGCAGCCTCCGTCTCCCTCAGCCACTATCCCAGCTGGTTTTCACCGCCTAAAGTTACGGGGACTCCTCTTCCCAGCACTGGAACCCTGGGCTGATGGTTCTAGTGTGAGGTTGGGACCCCTTGCTCCTCATGGGGTCTCTCCACAGCCAAGATACCG